GGTCCGACGGACCCGGAAGATGACTGGAAGCGATAGGGTCATTAGGGAGGGCGGACAGAATGTCCTTATGAAGCTGCTCGACATCCATCAGTACAGCTGTCCGGAGCACCGGAATTGCTAGGTGTGATGCCCGGAGGGACGAAGCGAGCTGTTCTGTGGTAAATATCAGCCGGAGGTTGTGTGGATTAACTTGAGCGTAGTCCTTATCCCCCTCTTTGGGGTAGATGTCCCAACATCTAGTTAGGCAGTCGGGCTTTGCTCCGAGTTTTCCGGGTCGGAACCAGATAACGAGGTTAAACTGATGAAGATATTCTGACCAGCGGGCTTGTTGGTGGGTGAGGAGTTTTGTGGTAGTGAAGTATTTAAGGTTTTTGTGATCCGTGACGATGTCTATCGGCTCGGCAGAGCCTTCAAGGTAGTGTCGCCAGGATCGGAAGGCTTCATAGATAGCTAAAAGTTCCTTATCATGAGTGTCATAATTGAGTTCCGGAGCTGAAAGGGTTCAGGAGTAAAAGGCAACCGGGCAGAGCTCCTGGTCCGGACATACGATAGAAAGTATTCTGGCGATGGCATAATCAGAAGCATCCGTCTCAACAATGATAGGAACATCCGGCATCCAGTGTGTAAGCACCGGAGCCGTAGTGAAGGCTTTTTTGAGAGTTTCGAAAGATTTCTGGCAATCCTCGGAGAAATTCCAGGGGGCATCCTTGTGGGTGAGCCACGTAAGCGGAACTACAATATCCGAGTAGTTAAAGATGAAACGACGATAGAAGTTAGCGAATCCGAGGAACGATTGAATATCCTTGACTTTCTGAGGTTCTGGCCAGTCGCAGATAGTCTGGACTTTGTCGGAGGACATTGTAAGTCCGGCCGGAGATAGGAGGTAACTGAGGTATTCTACAGAGTCGGAATGGAATTCGCACTTCTCCGGTTTAGCATATAGCCAATGCTTCCGGAGGCGTCGGAGGACTTCAAGGACGTGTTGTTTATGGGATGCAAGGTCTGCGGAATAAATGAGAATGTCATCGAGGTACACAATAACACAGATGTCAAGCATATCGGCAAAGATGGTATTGACAAAGCGCTGGAAAGCCACCGGAGCATTGGTGAGACCCTCCGGCATAACCAACCATTCATACGAGCTGTAGCGCGTCCGGAAAGCAGTTTTCCACTCGTCTCCTTCCGCCATCTGGACTAGATGGTGAGCGGACCAGAGGTCAACGAACAGGACAGGGGCTCCATGCGGAGAGGATGAGGAACGAAGAAGTCCGGTCGCAATATTCTCATCAAGGAATTTGCGAAGAGCTACAAGCTCAACCAGAGAAAGGGAATAGATGGTGCCAAGGGGCGGAGCCGCTCCTTCTTCCAATTCGATCTTCAGATCATATGGACGATGAGGAGGGAGCTGTCTGGCTTTGCCCTTATCAAAGACATCCACATACTCGTGATATTCCGAAGGGATTCTGGATAGGTTCGGAGGTTCGGAGGAGAGTGTAGCGGAGCAGAGATTGACACCGGATGGATGAACAAAAATACTGAACTGGACCGATCCCTCTAATTTACAGGCCCGGCAAAAAGCAACTGCATTGATTAGGGAAATATTAGGAACAGCATTATCAGCGGAGGGACTCGGCGAGGTTGAGGAAGGGATTTCCGCCAGAGCCGGTGGAAGTTGAGTCGGAGGGGTCGGAGGCACTCCATGAGGAATCGGACGGAAATCGATGCTGCCCTTTACCCAGTCAATCAACGGATTGTGTCGGGTGAGCCAGCTATATCCTAGAACGATGGAACAGGATGAGTCCAGCGGAGTAACATAAAATGTTTCAGAGGTAACCACGCCGGTCGGAAACCGGATCAGTAAATCTACTGCCTCTGTAATAGTGGCATTAGAAGTACCATCAAACAGGTGGAGCGGAAGCAGAGGGATTGCATAGGTTGGAATGTTATTTTCTCGGATTAATCTGGTTTCTATAAAACAATGAGACGAGCCACAATCTACAAGAGCCGGAAATGGAGAGATATCGGGAAAAGTAGAAATTGAAACGGATGGTACTAGAGAGTTCGGATCGGAAAAGGAAATAGCATTGAGACGTAGCTCCATTGCACGGGTTGAGTCAACGCAACCCTTGTCCCACGCGGAGTCAGGAGGGTCATGGACTAATTTTTTGTCTCTTCCAAGACCTCTGGTTTGGCTTCCGGAGTCACCGTGCTAGCACGACCTTTGGCCGCACGGGAAGTGGATTTCAGGCAGTCCCTGGCAGTATGACCGGGTCCGCCGCAGAAGAGGCAGAGCTTCTTCTCCATACGCCTCTGGCGCTCCTCGGAGGTGAGTTTGCCATCTTTTCCGAGCTTGGACATCAAGTCCGGAAGTTTGGCGGAGGAGGAAGCTGAAGTGTTTCCGGATTTTCCGCCGGAATATTCTTTCCGGTCGGAAGTCGAAGCTGACTGCTTAGCAGGAGGGGTGGATGCGGAGGTTTGGTCTCGCGGGAGACTTCTCCCTTGCGTTCCCAGTATCGGGCGTCGATAGTCTGGGTGAGAGTTTTGTATTGGGAAAGTGTAGTGGGTTTCCCTTGACAACTGATTTCATCTTTGATGCGAGCCAGAAGTCCGTTGTAGAACTGATGGTGCAAAGCTCCGTCGCCCCAACCGCGGACTTGGGAAGCTAGCTGCTGGAACTCTACAACATACTTGTTGATGCGCTGTCCGTCGTGCATGTAGAGCTGTTCCAGCTGCATTTCCGCATCTCTGACTGGATCATGAGGTCCAAAGTTAGTTTGAAGTTCTAACATGAACTCGGAGTAGTCATCCATCCAGTCTGGACGATCCACGAGAACGTCCGACAGGAGGTCCGGTTCAAACCATTCAAGGGCCATGCCCTTGAGGTATGATTGCGCGAAGTTGACCTTAGTTCGGCCGGTACGGAAAGATTTCGGCTTAGCTTGGAAGTTAAGCTCACATTGAACAAAGAATGCCCGGAGTTTCCGGGGCTCAGTGCCATCGAAGGTATCCAGTTCTCGGACTTTGACTTTAGAGTCACCGGATCCGGAGGATTGGCGGTTGTTACGCGCCAGGTTATTGATGGCTTGGGATAGCCGGAGGAAGACCAGGTCTTGCGGACCTAGACCTTCGTTTTCATCGTCAGTCAGGTCTTCTGGAGGTTCATCATCCGGATCTCCGCCACCACCTCCCGGCAGGTTACCGCCTAGGGCAAGTTCATCATCGGAATCATTGTGCAGAAGATTTCCGGTGGGTGTGGGGGTGGGGGTAGACGGATGTGGGCAATTCATGAGTTGAGAGATGCTGGAGGCAGCGCCTTGCGCACTAGCGCGGCGCTGCAAGAAACTGGTGAAGGCATCGACTATGGGAGTAGAGTCGTGTTGGGCTGTTACTAAACCTGCCGCATTAAGAGTGGTCTGCGCCCATGTAGGTGCCATGAAAACAGATGTAAGTATACTCGCTAAGGTGCGAGTTCGAATATACTGTTAAGAACATGCTCAAAGGTCGGATCCGAAGGGCTTGGCTTCAGCTCATGTGCTGCGCCCCTTACCCAAGTACATGCCCCTAACTTCCGAGGGCTGTCGAACAATGTCCAAAGGTTACCGGACAATGTCCGGAGGGTGTCGGGCGATGCCCGGAGTCCGATGTCCGATGCGCGGGAATTCCGGCAGACATTCAGGAACAAGAGATAAGACTAATCCGGACAAAGTCCGAACTAGAAAGGAAACAGTGGAGGACTACCAGAGGTAGAGGCAGAGGTGACAAGTCTATAGGAATCGATCCTAAGACAAGCGGAGGTCGACGAGAGAGAAACTCAAGTCGGACGGAGGAGGGAATGAGCAGAGTCTAAGATGATATTCGAAATAAGGATGTACATAGATTTTACAGGGTTTATATACTACTGAGGACTTATCGGAGAACAGAAATGCGCAGTCCGAAGCTATACAAAGCTGTGGACGGAGCGTATAAAAAAGTCAAACACTAGTCTATCAGAAAATAGTAAATGAACCTGGAGATTAGAACAGATGAAAATAAAGGCGGAAATGAAATGAGGTACAGAAAATGATATAGTCTAACTGGAGTAGGAACGTACAAAGGGATAAGGCGCGGAAGTTAGACACGGGTCGGATCCGGACATAGATAGACGTCGGCCAGATCTGGACTTCTGGAAATGATGTGTGTGATAGGTCTGGGTCCGGAACGCGGGATATGACAGGTCCACTTCTGGTATCAGACATGTGGATTCTGATTTCTGACACAAATTCTGATTGACTGAGGTCAGACATGTCATGTCTGTAATCAGAAAAATGTCTGTAGTCATATATTGTCTGATTTCAGATACACCATGTCTGCAACAAGACCTCATGTCTGACTATCTGTATGCCTGACTAACTGTATTCAGGCATTTTATCTGTCACCAGACACTTCATCAGTTGTCAGACATCTTACTCAGTCACCAGACACTTCATCAGTTGTCAGACATCTTACCTAGTCACCAGACACTTCATCAGTTGTCAGACATCTTACTCAGTCACCAGACACTTCATCAGTTGTCAGACATTTCATTGGAAATCAGACATCACATATCTGTAGCTAGTAGGGGCACAGAAAATAGTTTGTACAGTGCTAGATAGACCAATCAAGAAACAGTTTCGAAATAAACCATGAGCAAAATTATGTATGAGAGAATGCTACTACTAGGGTATATCAGCATCAGCTTTTAAAACAGTGTAGGGATTCATTTCTGGCTGGGCTTGTAGAGACTGTTTTTACCTTACCTTATGTTGGCACTTTTGTAGCTTACATAAAGAAGTTATCTTTTCACCAGTTACCAGTAGGAGTCAGAGTACTCAGCAAGTTTTTCATGATATTTCCTCTCCTCTGAGCCTTGAGCCTAGTCCAGAAACCCTTTAGGGTCGAATAGCAGCTGGGTTCTGCAAGACCCAACATTGTTCAGACTCACCATCTGAATTGTTGTACCTTCAACGGTGTATCACACTCACCTAAAATGAAAAATCAGATCCAGAGTCACTCGCACTGTCTAGGTCAAAACAGATAACATATCCATTCAGCCCTTCCCACTGCTCCTTTAGAGCAGCACGTGATGTTGCACGGGACTTGTAGGCACCAATGTAAGGAATTGCAGCCTTAATGATATTCTTCCACCCGCGCAGTGTTGTCTTCGAGATCGACATCATGATTTCGTCAGTTGTGATGCCCCACAGTTGCTGCAAGAACCTAGCCTCAATGGCACCATCTGGCTTGACATATTCTCTGGTCGAATACAGTCGCAAAGCTCATTCAACCTAAGACAAGATACATTTAGTACAGTAAAGGTAGCAAAAAGAAAACCTACGCCAACACATGCAAGAGCAAGTGCTCCTCGAGGACGGTCTTTCATTCGGCTTGCTTTGGAAAGACCTTGGATGGCTTCAAGGTGGTGAGCGAACATATCAGATATAAGTTGGTGCAAAAATGCCCCCGAAGTGGTCTGTTGAAAGTGTGAAACAAAAAAGATCAAGCCTAATAGCGATTCTAGAGACTCACTGCATGGGAGAACTTGCCCTGATCGTCATACACCATGTTAACTTCCTTCCACATGTAAGGGTAGCAACCAGGATTGATGTAACGAGTCTTCCCACTGTCACCAGGTAGCTTGTGGATGGTCAGTGCAAGGTGTCCAACGATGTCTTTGATATCATCTGGCATCTCATGTTCAAGGTAAGAAGCAACGGCAAGTTCGGCACGGTCTGCAAAACCACTGCGATAATCGTAGGCTCGCTGCATCAACTATTGAATATTGTTAGCAGCAAAATATACAGCATATACGGAATCAAAAAAATACATACCAGAGCATAGACATAATCATTCTTCTTGGAAACTGTGTGCTCGATGTCATCAAACACAGTATCCCACAGCTCTTCGCGACATCAACATAATCAGAGGCATCCCACGGCCCCTCGAGTGTCGAGATATAGTCAATCCAGAGTGGTGTGAGCACAAGGCGAAAGCGCTGCTGGGAGCCATCAGGGAGATCTTCAATGCGAAATTTTCGCCGTTGACTGCGCTTCTGTTGTTGCAACCGTGTATTGTTGGCTTTATTGACATCCATGTTCTGCGGTACAACCTGCGTGACAGGCTAAATTATTGTTAGCGTGATGTTGACTTGTATTGAAAGCAGAAGAATAAAAAAGGGCTTACTGGTTGATTGAGGGGGCGAACATTCCTCTTGTTGGATATATTTGACCAATGGGTTTGTGATGTGGTGCGAGCCGCTTGTTGAGTGGACTGAGGTGGACGGGAGTAAGCATTAATCCCGGACAAAGTGGCATGAGCCTGAGCATTGGATTGAACTTGCTGCTTGTGACCAGTGTGAGAAGGTTTGGAACGTCGGTCCTCATTGGTGGTCCTTGGACGAGATGTGTTGAATGTCTAGACATAATATCAGGTGTTAGTACTATGAACTCGTTGAAATTGAGATGATACATACCTGCATGTCATTATCATCGTGATCATTGCGCTCTTCATTCGTTGGACGATGAGCACCAACTCGCTAGACAGGATCAAAACAAGGAATCAGTAGTTTGAACTCAAATATGACAAAAGCAATACTTACCTGCACAGTCTCATTATTGACACCATCATCGTACTCCTTGTCTACCTCACCCCTGTCCTCATATCGGTCTCCCTGCTCCTCTCTGCCCTTTGACGTGTGTTGAGCCCTTTCTGGTTGATGAGCACTGAGTCGCTTGACAGGGTTAAAACAAGGAATCAGTAGCATAAACTTAATTGCAATAAATGTGATACTTACCTGTATAGTTTTGTTGTCATTGCCATCATTGTGCTCGTCGTCGACCCTCCAATCCTCATCTTGGTCTCCCTGCTTGTCTCCATCCTCTGACTCGCGCTGAGCCCTTTCAGCCTTGTCTCTGGCATTTGAAAGCACGTCAAGGGGGTCTGAATACATGAGCCGCAAAGACAGCTCTCTATCATCTTCTTTGGCAAGTTTGTCCTCATCTTCCAGTCCTCCAAATCTGATGACATTTGTATCTTTCTTAGATATTTCTAGATATCAAAATGTATTTTAGCAGTAAAATAAAATAGAGCGAGGCACAGACCTTTTTCGGTGCGCGATTCTGAAGGATTTGGAATGCCCTTGGAAGTTGGAGGTGCAGAACCAGAGACAAACCTGCTGTTTGGGACCTGCATCCTGGCTTTTGAGCGCCAATCAGGTAGGATCCCACTGATGGGAGGTTGACTTGCGAAAATCCGCGAATCTTGTTTAAGTTTCTTGGAGACTGGCCTATGAGCCGGGATCAGAAGGCAGAGGATTGACATGTAGGTATGAATTGATGAATGAGAGTTTAGACGCGCATCACATTTGTAAGTGTTTGTCATTGTGATGCACAACGACGGCACTTGCCTTTCTTCATCTTCATCACTCACCATAAGTCCCAACCTGCCACGCTTACTCACAAGTACTGCTTGCGCTATCCTTTCCATGACCCGCCAGTCCTCCTCATCACTTGCATCATCTGGTGTGATATCGAACCCGAGCTCATTGTGTGCATTGGCGACTAATTCTCGTGGGGTACATTTTTTCTTTGAATTTGTTTGGTTGTTGGACTGAGCTTGAGTTGCATCTAAATTTATAGATTCAGCATCTGTTATTGAGGGTATAGCTCATACGTACCATTACCTTATTCCTTCTGAACGGCAACTTGACGAGATACTGGCCTTGGTGCAGGACGAGTGACCTTCTTCACAGAAGATACAGGTGGACGAGCGCTGTATTGCTGTTCATGTAAGTCCTCTTCTTCCATTTCACGCTCAATCTCAGCAACATTGTTGAGAGCATTAGTCTTTGCAGCTGCGCGTGATTGTTTCAAACCTTTGTCAACTTTTTATTGTCTTCCTCGATTTGGAGCATCGAGAAGACCAGGGTGTGCGTCTTTGTTACCTGGTCGAGTAACTGGGGCCATCAGCGCTAATCTTTGAAGAATGTAGATGACTGATTAAAATAAATTGAATGGAAACTTTGTGTTACAAATAGTATTTGTTTGGTTGGTCTGGTGGGTAGTTTCGCACAAAGTCTCTGGACTATTCTCTACGTCCATGGTCCTTACAGCTGTGTGAATTGTTTTAGCTCTTTGAAACATGAAGTTCCAGCCTCGACGATACTATTGTACAGACCCAAACACATCTACTTGTCGTCGTGGGTTCAAGTCTATCAATGGGTACAGGCAACATCAAAGCACAGTCCACATTGAGCCTCCACGACCTCCGCGACCTCGTGAACATCCTTACGACCCTTCTGTTCATCGTCACCATCACAATCATGCCAACTTGGAGTCCGATGAAGATGTCGATATGGACTCTGACTCGGACTATAGAGGTGCCTATTACTTTCAACACCCTGTATTGGACAGTACCCCATGTGACATCGACAGTAATGACCTTGCCCCAGAGCAGACTCCATTGTCTCCAAACTCACCAGTGGAGAATCCGTGGACCCCATTTGCAGGACGTAGTCATTTTGAACTTGCAGACCTATTATTCTGTCGCAATCAGATGCCTGCCCAGCAGGTTGATGACCTTATGCAGATTCTCGCCGGAATGAACAAGACCGGTGTACCACCCTTCGCAAACGGCAAAGACCTTCACACTACGATAGATTCAATTTATTCCAGGGATGTACCATGGCAATCCTTCACTGTCCATCATGCTGATGCCGATGGATTATTGGCTCAGGACCCAGATGTCCCTCCATGGAAGTTGGCAGAGTATAATGTGTGGTTCTGGGATCCTCGTGAACTCGTTCGTAATCAACTATCCAACCCAGACTTTGCCGACAGCATAGATTATTCTCCTCGTCAAGTTTTCAGTGATGAAGGTCAACGAGTATGGAGTGACTTTATGACGGGTAATTGGGCTTGGAAGCAATGTGTTCGTTTTTTGTATGTTTATTCTATCGTGAACTAATTGAGCTCATTAGGATACTCTTGCGGACGATCCTGACTGCCATGGAGCCATTTTTGTTCCTATTATTCTCGGTAGTGACAAGACTACGGTTTCAGTTGCGACGGGCCAGAATGATTACTATCCACTATATATCTCAACTGGTAACGTCCACAATAGTGCGTGACGTGGCCATTGAAATGCAGTCAGCTTGGTAGGCTTTCTCTCTATCCCAACAAGTATGTCTTTATTGCAATAATTATCACACTGATACTAAATTTTAATCAGCTGAGAGAGACCACGAGGACTCCCCAGAGTTTCGTGAATTCCGTCGACATTTGTTTCATACCTCTTTGGCCGCTATTCTGGAGGCTTTCCGTCCTGCAATGGAGAAGCCTGAGGTGACAATGTGTCCTGATGGTCATTACTGTCGAGTGGTCTATGGTTTGGGTCCATATATAGCTGACTATCCTGAGCAATGTTTGCTCGCATGTATTGCACAGAGATGGTGTCCAAGGTAGTAGTAGTGTCTATGTATATTTTTTGAGTTCTTTTACGAGTGTATCATAGATGTACAAATTACCGAAATGATCTTGACTCTGGTCAAGGTGGACGACGATCTCATGTTCATACTCGAGTCCTCATGGATGCGTTTTCGAGAAATGAACTATGGAAGGGGTGGGGTATTGTTGATGGGATATTGGTGAGTGTCGTGTTTGACTTTGATTGAAATACACTACTGATATATGATATACAGCCATTTACTGCATATTTTCCTCGAGCAGACATCCATGAGCTTATTGCTCCTGATATCCTCCATCAAATCATTAAGGGGACATTCAAGGACCACATCGTGAAATGGGTAGGAGATTACTTAGTTCATGAACATGGTGAGGTACAGGCTCAGGTAATATGGGCTGATATTGACCGACGGTGACATCCTATTTTCATAAATAAGCCTAACCTACTTGCTAATTGATGAATACAGAATTGCTGCAGTCCCATCATTTCCAGGGTTGCGTCGATTTCCTCAGGGACGAGGATTCAAACAATGGACAGGTAATGATTCGAAGGCATTGATGAAGGTATTGTCATTTTGTCATAAAATTCTGTATATATTTCTGAAGCTATGCAATTAGGTCTTTCTACCTGCAATTGCTGGTCATGTTCCAGACCGCATGCTAGGTGCCATCAGTACCTTCCTTAATTTCTGTTATCTGGTTCGCCAATCTACCCTCAATGAGGCTGATCTTCAAGCCATTGATGACTCAGTTCGCAAATTTTATGCTGAACGTGTTATCTTCCAGGAGCTTGGTGTGACACCAGATATCATTTCTCTGCCACGCCAGCACTCTCTACTGCATTATCGCTACTTGATCCAGCTGTTTGGTGCTCCTAATGGTCTCTGCTCATCAATCACAGAATCTAAGCATATTTAAGCTGTCAAGGAACCTTGGCGTCGATCCAGTGGTAATCTTGCCCTCGCTCAGATGCTCATCACCAACCAGCGTCTTGACAAACTTGCTGCATTTCATATTCGCATGGCTGCACATGGCTTTTTGGATACACCTATATTGCATCAAAATGTTGTTGCTATCCCTCTTAGCCCTGCAGATCCAGATCCATTCTGTGACGACACCAATGTTGATGATGCTATTGCAGTAGATGATCTGATACCATTCAGTGAGGCTCAGGTAATTATTCAACTTGCAAAAACAAAAGGTAAGTGAATACCACTTTGATAGTATTGTAATTGCAATTACTTATTACTACTGTAATCATAGCTCCAGGATATCCTCCACATCTCCGACCATTAGGACAGCATATTGGTTGTCCTGATCTTCAAGAACTTGTACGACACTTTTTGTATGATCAACTGAACCCAGCCTCTGCAGTACCATTTCATGAGGTGGATATCACTTTATGTCCACTATTTGATGGCAAGGTTTCTGTCTTTCACTCTGCCACTATTTGATTTTATGCTCCAAGTGATATCTGTGGTGTTGGTGGAATGCATCGCCAAGTCATCAGGTCACTACCAAGCTGGAGAGGTGGCCCTGCTCGCCATAACTGTGTTTTTCTTGAACATGATTCTACTTTGCCAGGGTTTCGTGGACTTTATGTTGCTCAAGTGATTTTATTGTTTTCTTTTACTTATAGACAGGTGGATTATCCTTGTGCACTTATACGATGGTTTGATACCATTGGAGATGAGCCATGCCCAAATACTGGTATGTGGATGGTGGAGCCTGAATATAATGCAGAAGGTGATTGCCTTGTTTCTGTAATTCATTTGGATACTATTCTTCGTCCTGCTCATTTGATTCCAATTTATGGGTCACATTTTCTTGATAGAGATGTCCACCACACAGACTCTTTGGTAATATTTGCAGGTTATTATGTTAACAAATATTCTGACTACCATGCATATGAAGTAGCCTTTTGATAGTCAATATCAACCTTGCCCATCTTTGGTTGTACATGGCTTAGTTGCAGTTGCCTCCTGTTTGCAAAAAAAAATGAAAAACTGATAAAAACTGGTTGCAACTAGTCTTTTATAACCACAACCCTAGCCTATATAGTAGTGTACGATTGTGCTAATTGAGGCGCATTTATCACTGGTTGGATCATAAAAAATGGTCAAAATTTGGGAAAGCTATAAGCATTTCAATATTTGCTCATAAAAGTTATATGAGCCCGTCCTGTAATGCTCATAACTTGCTCAAATCATACCCGTTTGACAAGATAAGAGGCTCAAAATGTTCCTATTGATGGGGTCTTCAGGTCTGAACTGGTTTTGGACCGGTACATTCATAGACTGGTCTAGAACCAGTTGTAGAACCGCAAAAGACCAAAAATATTAGTGCTGGTCCAGTTGCCTCCAAATAGTAGGGTAAAAAAACCAGACTGGACCAGACTTTAAAACACTACTAAGCAGAGGCTACTACTACTAGTACTATAGGCAACAATTATGGCCACCAAACAAAATTCATTGTCACTTGTAATACACAAATACAGAAGTTGAAAGAGATCAATAGAATTGGCTAATAACAAAGTAATATAACTAGTGATTTGTTTTAGTATCTAATATGATCTGAACTGTCTGAAAATTATTAACTCTCCTGGTCGATCTGAGATGCCTGATAATACTGATCTCTCTGAGATACCTAATTGTCTGCTCACTGATTCATCTTAGGCTACTTAATGAGTCTGTACTACTCGGTTGTCTGATGCCTAGATTTATCTGGCAACCCTGATTACTGAAAGTCCTAATATATCTGCCAAACTGTCATGTCTGACATTACTTACTAACCTGACTGTCTGAAGCCTGATGAAACTAATATGTCTCTGATTCTGATTGCCTTATTGTCTAACTATTCTGACAGTCTGTATGACCTATGACTCTGCTCTCTGTTATGCCTGGAATCACTGACATACCTAATTACCTGATGCTTTATATATCTGACAACCCTGATTACTGAAAGTCCTAATATATCTGCCAAACTGTCATGTCTGACATTACTTACTAACCTGACTGTCTGAAGCCTGATGAAACTAATATGTCTCTGATTCTGATTGTCTGATTGTCTAACTATTCTGACAGTCTGTATGACCTGTGACTCTGCTCTCTGTTATATCTGGAACCACTGACACACCTATTCACCTGATGTCTGGAATGTCTTATAAGACTAATGAGTTTGTATATCTGCATGCTGATTATGCTGATTGCACTAATTTATCTGTGCAGTGTCTGATCTCAGAGCAATCATCTGAAATCAGATTCATCAGAGATGCCAGACAAATCAGGACAAATCTAGGTTTTCTGATAAAGAGAATAGTGTCGGATCATGATATTATTGCAGAGATTAAATATATGACTTCTATTAGCTACTTGATGGACATCAGGACACTAGAGATAGTGTAGCTGCATGAATATCATGCCACCTTCCAAGCGATTGATAGCCCGAGTAAACTAGTTATCCTAATCCATCTGCACAATCAGTTCTCAATATTTTATACTTACAATTGGCCAAGATTTCAAGATTTTAATGGTGGACTGAGTTGTCTTGAATGCTAAGCACTCATTAATCATTGTGTAAGCATTCAAACATTATTTTCTGTTTAGCTAGGATAACTGTGATGTCATCACTGAAAACTAAGATCTATGATAAACCCTTATATACACATTATAATCCCAACAATGTCTATAATCGTATAAAATATGGCAATGCAGAAGCCATAGCCTTGTATAGAAATATATTGTTATCTCTTGCGACCAATCTTTATCATGATTACCTGTGTCCGGCATTAGTCAAATGAATTTGGCTGTGTAAAAACTCAAACAGATTGATAAACATGCTAATTGCTGAAAACAATATATATATGTGTAGAACACTATCCCCTATGACCAATAATTATCAAGATGGTTTTCATTTGGCATTGGCTGCATGAAGCATGTTTGAAAAAGTGTCTCTCATTTAGCATTTCTAGCACAGAGGCTCTCCTGTCCAATAAGCAAAAGAGATAGAAATTCTTGCCATCTGTATCATCATATTGACAATTGCTTCATTGGCATCATGGTATTTCACATTGGGTTGTATAGGATTATACAGAGACACTCGGTACAATACATGTAGTTTATCAATGCCTCGCCAATTCTCTACCCTAATCTCATCATCAACACCATCTGCAGGAACAATAACAGATGGGTTGAACCACAACAGATATCGCTAGTGCCTTGAAGTCCAATGAAAGCAAGGTGTCGCGGCAACTCGACACTATTGTTTCCTTATGCAGGGATTTGCATGGCGCAAGTGGTTGATTGAGTTTGGTGGTGCCAGTGTACAATCAAGCTCAGTGGTGCTGGTATAGGATCGAGTTTGGTGGTATATAATCGAACTCGTGGTACCATAGGATGTAACAGGATCGAGTTCAGCCATATAATCAAGTTTTTGGCCATGGAATAGAAGTTGGTCGCAGGGATCGAATCCAAATATGAGATTGAGTTCAGCCATGGCATATCATCGAAGACCAGTCATCCTTAGACAGAAACATAGACCACGACATGACATATCCTGTTGCCAAACCATGTAGGTGACAGTGCGACTTTCTGGATGGCGCCCTGTCGAGAAACTTGCATGAAGTAGTGTTAATGGGTGATTGGAGGCAGAGTAGGCGATAGTGGGGATTGTAAATAAAGTCTGAGTCAGATCCTTACTTATCAATGACCGGAAGATATGCTCGGCCGGTGGTGACTGAGGTCTTGACCCTTCCCAAGGGAGTTGTACCTCATTCGTTCTGAGATCCAGTGGTCAAACTATTTCAGAATAAGAAAAGAGAAGGAGCCGGGTGAGGCTGCGAGCTTCGGTGTCAGTTGCAGACAGCTAAAACCAACAGAGATCCGACTCGGATATCAGCGGCAGTTTCGAGCATCAGTTGAGGACAAATGGCCAATGTTGACTTTGAAGAAAGGCCAAATGCAGGATAGGTTTCAAGTGGGATTGAGGGATCATACAGACCACCATTCACTACTGCCCGATCCCAACAACTGCCAGTGCTTAGCGCACATGCCCAGCGCATGTCAGCAAATGCTGACGTGGCTCGAACATATGTGAACCACACCGGAAGGCGCCAGAATGAGAGGAGTGGAAGAGGGCGAGAAGGAGATGAAGGAGAGGTAAGTTTATATCTTGGGTGTCTATGGAAATGAGGTAGTCAGCAGCATAAAAATGCACAATATATATTACACGCACCTCTGCAGCTTAGAGAAAGGTACCTACAATCCCTTGGCCGCATTCAACATCATCAACCTCCAGTAAAATGTCACAGCTCATTCCAAGCACCACATCCCTTCGAGCTTTTGACAGACCGGCAGTACCTGTTCGAGAAGTCAGCTTGATGTCGAGTAAGACATATTAGGACCTCAGAAGCGAAGAAGGATGGCACTGACCGCGTCTTGAGATGATGCCTGCGATTGTTGAATCAGAAAATATTGACGAGCAAATGTAGCGAAGCCATGGAGGACGAGTGCGACTCACAGTGGTGCGTGTGAGTTTTGTGTGTCTAGAATTTTTGAATAGATCCAGCGCCATATATGTTGAGTGTATGCCTACAGCATCGACGTCTTCCTATCATTCTGCATTGCTATATAGTATTGAGCAATTTTTACGCATAAATGCAAAAACTAGACCACCAGCTTAGAATTCGACATACTGTTAGATTAATGTGTCGAACACGACAAACAAGCTCATAGATCAGGAATATGATGCTTGATAAGTAGGCCAATACATGGGCATATAAGGACAACACAGATTTTGCCAACCTTATAACACCTCAACCTCACATAATCCATACCTAATTAGGCTGCCATATACCCCCGGGTGTGGCAAGCTAAGTAGGCACGAATGCACCAAGTGCCTACACTGCCAGTAAATAGCTGAATAATGTTGAATATCTATACTTCGGCAAAACACATGTATTGTGCCTCTCCCATACGCAACCAATGATTCCCAATTTAGAAGCTTATGTGCTCACTGCTCAGGAACGTCCGCACCTCTCACGCTCGCTGTTGTCAACGACAAACTCACTTCTAAACCTAAATAATGTCTAAAAAAGCTGGTTTTCTCTCTCAAAAATTTAAGAAAATCATTCATTGCTTGTAGATATAAGGGCTAGACAAAACAGCAAGTAACGAAGGTATAGTATATCTAGAGGACAGAGACAATATGAGGGCAAAGTGAGGCACATTAGACCTGGACATGAACAAGGCAAAGTTGGAGAGTGTTCCAGCACAGCACTAGATGGTGTTGAGTTGGGGCTCGTTGTCACCAGTGTCATCGTTAGCTGGGGCATCCCTCCTCTTTCAAGGACCGCGCTTGACACCCTTGTCAGATCGTTCCTTCCGAGCCTTCTTTGGCACATGCATAGCATTTCCGTTCGCCGTGGTTACAACACTGATGGCCGCAATTGGCGCTGTACACTTGCGAGAGGGAGCCACCTGGGATTGAATGTCTGGAGTTGCAGAGGATGTCGGAGATGAACCATCATCATTCGAAGGGATGGAAGACTGAATGCTTGCAGTCGGTATCGTGTTCTCGAGCTCTCCTTCCTCGCCCTCATTTCCATTTCCATTTGCTCCTCTGTTCCCATCATGCAGTGCAGCCTGAAAGCATTCCTCTTCCCACTCATCGAACTCAGCATCGGTGAGCTTGCGAAATCTAGTGGCACCGGAGTCCCATGCAGACTTTAGGACAGATATTTCAGTCTGCGAATTGAGGTCCCCAGGGCAGCAGAATTTGGCAAGCGGCCAGTTTTCAACAATGATGTGATGCTTCATGGTGATGTGTTGGTCAAAGTTGTGATAATGCATGCGAGAAACTCTCTCAGGAGCGGTAGCCAGTTCTTCTCAAAATTCAGACAAATACATCACCAGAACCACTAAAAAATGTACGAAGTTTCTTGAAAGTTAGCTCCCCAGTAGTTTTCTTGAGGTTGAGAGTCTCTTGCAAGTAGGTTTTAGCCACACCTGTATATTGATTGTTAGTTGCATCACATAGACGAAGCCCATAAGCCTTACCTTGAATGCCAGCGATGGAAAACACCTCTAGTCTTAGAGCAATGTCCATAGCACTAACTTTGAAACACGCATCAAAAAAGTCTGTAGCATGCGAGGTTTGAAATACATGTGGTTGGTTGAAGTGGTCAGCAGTGGAGCGTGTTGCGATGAAAATGATCTCAACCCCAGTGCGGGCATTCAGGGCACAAGCCTGTCAATAGAATTTTGCGTCAGAGCACATATCCCTGGATAAGCAACAGAAACAAAATACCTCACAGTCAATGGCCCCCACTGACTTTTGACAATCGTGAAAGGCTTCCAGGGGGACATTTCGAACAGCAAGCTTCTTCATTTCACGGTGATCTTCCAGATCCTTGACAGCGGATTGAGTGGCATCCTCCTGCTCACTTTTTGACATGGAATTCCACCGCTCAGCAATTTCACCAGCACATTGTGCCGCTTTCAAGGGTGCAATGCCAGGTGCTCGTTCTACAGGGAAATTGTGTATCAGTGAGTGGGACTTTCAATGTAGCAGTCGCTCGTACCATCATTCATCTGTTTGACTTCCTGTCGACAAAATGTGTTCCATCGATTGACACCACGAGATGACTGGGCAATGCGTGAGTGCTGCATTATCTCCTCATAGTAGTACTGGACACTATGCCCACTAAATTGAGTGTGCAATTTCTCTGCCTCATGAAAGACAATGTTGTGAGCAGCTTGGAGGGCGCTAGAGTATGAAACACAATGAGCTTCCCTCTTTTCCTTCAGCACTGCTTTTTCAGCCGCAGTGCGCTTGTATCATGCTTTTTCGTGGCGACGCCAAGGTACTCGAGGTTTATCGGTCATAAGTGCTCGCATTTTTGGGGCATAACGGCTGACTTTGCTCGAGCTCATTTGTTTCACCATTGTCAAGGGCAATGAGGTTGCTGGTAAGAGTGGTCGGCTAGTTTTTTCGGCTAGTCTTACGGATGTTAGCGTCGTCGGGCACACGTGACTTTTAGAGATAAACAAACATGTTAGAAACATAGAAATCATAGCAGAAAAACAGTGTACATGAGTTAGAAGTTGCTATCGCCAGTGATGATAAACCACAACCACTGCGCCTCTGTGATTGGAAGGCCTCTACCTGACAGATTATCAACAAACTGTTGCCCAGACACACTAACATCCAGGGCATGCTGAACACAGAGGAGGGTACGATGTGAATAACCATGGGCCTCAAGATAACTATCAGGTACATCACCAAAAGATGGGAGGGGTATATCATCAGCAGGAAGTGGGCTATAGAGTGTTGATTGGATGCCGCTCAATTCCCGCACATACTGGTACACCCGTGGTGCATGTGAGGACTGGTGCGCATGTGGCGCCTGTGAGGATGTAGCAAGAGGTGGGCGAGTGTCTGTCGGCGTCCTCCAAGCACGTGTTCGTCGAGGTGTGCTGGTATTGATAACAAGTGCTGTTTGAACTGATTGATAAGTGGTAGAGTAGAAACTGATGGAAAAACTTACATGGTGCAGAGGATTTGCTCAACATTGAACTGATGTCTGAAGTGACAGCAGGCAACTCCACGATCTTTTCTTTCATGATACCTTTCTTGCTGCCAATGGGTTTGCCATCAATAGACTGTCCTTTCATGATCATCCAAGCGACAGCATCTGCAAAAGTTTCGAGCTTCTTGAACATCGGACCGTGAAATCCAGACACAAGTTGGTGGCAATCTTTCCTAGAAGCAGATGTTGAAGTTACAATCTATCATTATTTTGAAACATAATTGGATGCACCACTTTGTGTAGATACTGATCTCGTGTCCCCTTAATACTGCATAGAAGCCCTGAAGTTTGCCTTCCCAAAGTTACTTCTGAAGCACGCCTTGTGCAGCATCAGAGTCTATGAATGCGCGTGCAACGACTAAAGCTTCTTGTGTCAGCACGGATGGTATGAGACTGTGAAGAGCAAACAGCTTTTGTGCTTGAGTGGAGCTCTGACAGTGAACGGCCAAGGGAAAGTAGTGAGTGTTGGATCCACTGCGAGCAATGAAAGGTCTGGAGGAGTTGATTAACGGCATGAATTGATAACTTTGTGATACCACCCACTGTTTGTCAAAGATCCCTGGAGATTGACCCCCAAAGACTACCCACCGCTTGCTGGAACTCATAGAGCTGCAAAAGTAAGAGACTGATGATGTGAGGGAAGGTGGAAGTAGAATGCAATGTTTTTGATGCAATCAGATGATCGATAATGCTAATGCGTTCACACATCAGCATTATCAATCATCTAATTGCATCAAAAACATTACGTTCTACTTCCACCTTCCCTCACATCATCAGTCTCTTACTTTGACTCAGTGCCTTACAGTGTTAATCGAGTGATTTTTGAAGTGCTCTTCACTTAAAGAAAATCCAAGCAATCATAGTATTTGTGAAGGCGGATGTACATGAAAACCACATGTTATACTAATTCAATGATAAAGTGTTAAGTCTGAGAGATATTCTATCAAGGTACCAATGTCCTGTGTCAATTCCTCAACTTCATCAACAGCGGGTGCAGCATCATCGTCGTGCTCGACTTTGTCACTGCTAGACAGAGCAATATCCTCTGTAGTATGCCCTCTGGATCCTTTCCTTATGCCTGCGGAATTTGAGCCGGAGAATCCTGGAAGCGAGTGAATCTTTGAAATGCGGTGAAGGACTTGCATGTTGATTAGACGGCGACGCGAGCAGTATTCATACACAGCAACATGTTCAATAACATGTTCAGCTGCGAGCGAGGCGAGACATTGGGTAAATAGAGAGTCTTCATCTATGATGGCGGTGTGTAAACGGCGTATCTCCACATTGCATCATTCTATCTCCTCCTTTGCACGTTTGATCCGTAGCCATTGTCGGATCACTGCATGGATAGCAGGTTTGGCCCACATTTTCTCATGAACGTCTTGTCGTGTATCTCGCAGGAGGTTGAACTCCTCAAGAAAGCTGTAATGGGATACCTTAGACCAATCAAGCTGGGGATGAGGGGGTGATAGTGCAGCAGCAGCTGCATTATACATCTTGACAGCATTTTGGATAGCATGACACCGAGTTTGAAGGGATTTAGATATGTGGGTGTGCATCTTATAAGCTGATCATATCAATCAGCTACTACAAACTAAAGAATCATCGGAAGGACACATACCAGTCTGTGATATATTCAGTCATTGAAGCTCGAAAAGCCACTGAACTACTAAGCGCTGAAGATTGTCCAATGCACGTTGATACTGATAGTTTGATGTATACTTCATGGTTGCTTGATACTCAGGTGACGAAGGCTGCCACCAGTTAGTGATACCCATCTTCACTTCCATGGAAACGACATCTTGTTGTATTGTAGCGAGACGCTCTGCGCTGTACCGACGTTGTGTCTCGAGTTTCCTTGTGGCTGTCATGTCGCTGGAATAAGGCTGTGTGCCCGTAGAAGATATGAACTGATAATCCATTGGAGTCGTAGATAGAAATCATGCAGATGCAGACTGTGCTTGAGATCTAAGATAATAGTTAGTTACTTGGCAGAACGAGAAAAAAGAATAAGTACTCTGCGTCTCTCAGCTTCAGTAGGAGTTCCACATATGTCATCACGTGAATGTCCCACTCAGTCTCTTTGCCCAGATGTGCGAAATACTCGATCTCCTCCTGACGCCAAGTCTTCAGATCCCCCTCCTGAATGTCGAGTGATCGCTTTGCTTCGTCAAGAGCAATTGACTCCGTTGAGAGAATATAGTTGTTGTATATCATGGTACCGAGATTCAAGTACTTATCCTCATCCCATTGCTTGAAAAAAAGGTCCAAAAAGACATGACAGTGGTATGAACTGGCATATCAGATAACAGGGGCAATAGCATTTGATGCACTGAAAAAATGTTCAATAGTTCCGAAGTCTTCAATGCCCGCACCAACAATTCCGTTGGGATGGTTCTTCGTTTGACATAGGTAGTTGTGTGCATAACCGTGGAACGCATCAACGCACATACGGCACTTTTGCCTCTCGAATGCATCACCCAGGCGGCTTGCACGGATGGTTGATTGAAACCCACAGCCTATATCATATGCCCCCAGAGTGCGCTCACTGAGAACATCGATAACATTGGATATGATCGCAAGAGGGTATTTCGCACTGTCAAGTTGTTAGACATGAAATATGTCGTAGATACAAGAGATCTTACAGTTCGCCACTGCTGACCATGTCTGTCACCCATAACAAAAGGCCATGGTGACAAGTGGAAACAAAAATCCCCGTTTCATCAAAGACAGACCACATGTGTTTCTTCTCTTCATCAGCAGCTGCTTTCCAGTTTTTGCTACAGTCGGATGACATGACCTGCATCATGAGATCTTCGTGGTGTGTGTCCTCTTCTTCTTTGATATTGGAAACACCCGCAACTGGGTCTGCAGCCTGTGAATGATGTGGTCGAACTTCGTTGGCAAAGCTATCAACAAAGTCACGTGGGAGGATGTAGTCGCTCTCAGTGTATGTTCGCGTGTCTCCTCGCTCACGTCCTCCTAGCCCTGCCATGTGTTTGGCTGAGTTCCCGCCATCCAGGACATACATGCGAGTGAATGGTAATGAGGGCTCATCCTCCAGCTCATAGGTGCAGGGAGGGCATGAGTTGAGTATGCGCCAGCTGGAGGTACTGCAACCGAGGGCAGTGTTAACTCTCTGCTCAACCTGCTGAAGTATGGCCAAGTACATATCAAAAGCATCGGCTAGTACAGTATGCCAGCGACATTTATAAGGTACCTAATGCCAGTTAGTGATACAAACCGCAGAGTAGACAAGAGTAGTACCTTGTATGAATCACAAATCACCTTGACATAGGCCTCGACACTAAATGAAGGTTTGCGGAGACGGAGGAGGCGAAAATGCTCCAGAGTACGAAGTGAGATGGCTACTGAGGGTGACACTGGTACATGACTGAGAAAGCCAGCACGGATAAGGTCGATTGCAGGAGACAGACTATTGGTGTCACAATGAATAAAAGTGCTTGTTTGTAGTGTAAAAACATCAACGATAGCAATAGTGAAGCTGTAGAATCGGAGGGAATGGAAGGGCAATTGTTGGTGGGTACAGGCTGGGGCTGATCGGAGCATGTTACCTTCCAGTGTAGATAAGTGTCTGTGAGTGGCACCAGGAGGGGCTTCCAGTTGGCATGCAAGTGGTCTAAACACTGTCGCCACGTCCGATTGTCTTTATGAATGCGCTGGTTCCACCTAATGCTAAAAATCAAAGAAAATTTACTTGTGAGGGAAGGAATACTGACGGTGTCTCCACATAATTGCGGATGGTGCTGGTAATTGTTTCACTGGCATCTGAAGGCTCAGTCTCCCACTCCCCTACTAGTCCATCGTCTTGTCCATCTTGCATGAGGGTCATGTCCTCTGAGTCCATGTCAGATCGTATCTCTCCGAGAACATCGAGTGAATCACTACTGAGGCCTACAGAATGAACAATAAGCAATAAAGATTGTACAGTACCTGAAAAGACCTACCTGAAATATTGAGGTGGTAACGTGCCTGCCCAGCGAGATGTTCGCGTGCTACTGCCTGTAGCCCAAGTGTGGTACTGTGCTGCTGCCTATCACTTGTGACACTGGTAATGTGGACTTGGCGGGAGACTCCCTTTCGTTTGTTGCATGTTGCTGGCATGGATGGTGAGTGGTAAGAAGGTTGAGGAAGGTGTAAGTGTTTGAGGAGGGCACACGCCTTCAATGTGGTGAATAACAATGAGAAACACATAATCACACGTTGATGAAAGCCTACTAGCAGTGAATAAGAGATAGACGAAGGGACAAAGACAATGAGAAGCTATGTGAAGATTGGTGTATAAGTGGGTGGTAGAAGCGAGCTCGTCGTTGACAACAGCGAGTGCAAGAGGTGCGGACGTTCCTGAGCAGTGAGCGCATAAGCTTCTAAATTGGGAATCATTGGTTGCGTACGGGAGAGGCACAATACATGTGTTTTGCCGAAGTATAGATATTCAACATTATTCAGCTATTTACTGGCAGTGTAGGCACTTGGTGCATTCGTGCCTACTTAGCTTGCCACACCCGGGGGTATATGGCAGCCTAATTAGGTATGGATTATGTGAGGTTGAGGTGCCTTATAAGGTAAATATTGTCATACCGGGTTATCCGGTTTTCAGTGATCACGGTGCGAGCGAGTCATCTACTTATTAAAAAACCTAGTATAATTACATCTTCTAGGTTTCATTCAGTCTGGCTATCTGGCAATGTCGTCGTAACCTGTATATACTATCCCGCATCACTCATTCTCTTCACTATTCTTCAGCACGATTCTTTTCACGATCTTCGTCATTGTCAGTGCCCATGTCCTGGAATGCGTCAGTCCTCAGCGCTGTATCCTCAGATACAGAGCCTACTGTTGTCATCGCCTTTGACTCTGCCAAGTACATCTTTAATGTCGGTGAGAATACTACCCGTGCGTTTCTCCAGAGCAGGAGGAACTGGAAGAAGACTAGAGGTGTGTTCTTGACTTCTATAGGCACCCAGCGAGCGAGCGGCCTTCCAGGTGAGTGTGATCCTGATCATGTGCAAGCGTGTCAACTGTTGATCGTGTTTTCGACAGGTTTATTGATGACTTTTGCGGACTCGGGTCTTACCAGCCTCAATATTGCCGGGCCAGCTGGGCTGTTGCACTTCATGGCAGTTATGCGTAAATACACATTCAGGTACTTATTTTCTGATCTTCAATAGTTCATCTTAATGCTATCAGCATAGGGAAAACATGTCCGTGAATCCGATCGAAATACCTACTTCCCGCCCCCCGGATGAATTACATGACGATATACCCATCTACAAGGACGATAATATTTCTGTGTTCGCATTACCAGTTTCTACTGAGATCCATTCACTGGAATCCTCTGAATCGGTCATAATGCCACACTCTGAAACTAGTGCCGTTAACAGGAGATCGGGAAAGAGGAAGCGTTCGTCTTCCCCTGCTGCACCACCGCTACATGAAGTCATATCTCACCCTGACTTCGACCCTACCACGCTCGTCGGCGACATGGCACAGGAATGGCTTCGTCACATTGTGCGCGCAATGTTTCCTGGGTCTGCCGCCAAACCCGTCATTTCGTCCGCGAAAGTCGAACATGTCTCCCAGCCGTCAGGCTTCAACCGCCCCTTACCTTCATTACCTGCATGCAATCTACGTGCAACGCTCGCATATGCGGTGGTTGGTCCGCGGGTTCGGGGAAAGTTTGATGTCAAGCGCGCGGAGGCGCTGGGCCTAAGTGCTGGGCCGTTACGTGCACGAGTTGCAAGGGGGGAGACGGTCACTGTAGTTGGCAAAGATGGAGTGGAGAGAAGTGTTGGACCGAGTGATGTTGTAGGTGCTAGTGAGAATCCCGGGGTATGTTCATTTTCCACGTTTTCTAACCATTCGCTCTCGATTTGGGACACAGTTGGCTGATCGAATTATAGGTCGTCTTGATACTGGACACGCCCAGCACTGCACATATACCTTCTCTTGTAAAGGGTTTTGAGAGTGGCGCGTTCTCAAAATACTGGGGCAAGGGGCCGGAAAAGAAAAATCACTCACTGAGAGTTGTCTTTCATCTTTGTGGCAATGATGTATTTGAGCATGAGCGGTATAAGGCGTTCATGAAGAGGTTCGATGACGATGTACACGTGAGTGCCTCTTGTTCTGGGCGTGCACTGCGCTGTTCTGACGCGATTGAGAGCAGCATATCGTTGCGTCTAGAGATCATGTATCAGATCCGATCACATTTACTAGTGCGGCGTTCAACCAGCTGAGGCTCAACCACCTGGATAGCGACATCTTCCCTGTGCCCAAATATTCTCTAGAGGCTAAGAAAACTATGGACAGTGCGTTAGTCCAATTCCTAATCCATGTCATTTAACTTTAAGATGTGGTAGCCGCGAATCTTCCGTCCAATACCGACTGCATGCGTGCGCATACTGTCATCGACATCCGTCCGCCACGGCCACCACTACGAGACCCTGAGGCAGAAGCGAATGATCTCTTTCACCCCGCCGTATTGTCTGGCGAGCTCTCATCACTCTCTGACGCTGCCAGAACACAATTTTCCGAGGCACGAGCGCGCGTCGACGAGGCTGCAGTACCTGATGTTATAGGTAAGGATGTCATGGTGGTCACGCTCGGAACAGGCAGTGCTATACCTAGCAAGTACCGAAATGGTTTGTCCTTTTCCGTTTTCACCCCAGAAACCCAACTGAATCATTTGTGTAGTTTCTGGTACACTCCTGTGTATCCCGGGAGCAGGGTATATCCTCCTGGATGCAGGAGAGGGTACATGGGGACAACTCTCTCGGAACTATGGAGTTGCTGTGTGGAACGTTTTGAGGGCCCTGAAGTGTATCTTCATAAGTCACATTCACGGTGACCACCACATTGGTCTCGCAAAGATCTTGGCAATGAGACAGCAGGTGCGTATCCCCGCTCATACCCTGATGATCTCCTGGTGTTCATATGTGGAGAAGCTTGACCCGCCCCCGGAAGAACCACTCTACCTCATCAGCAATCGCATGGTATTCCTCTATCTTCGGGATTACAATGCGCTTGAGGAGCTTGGGTTTTCGGAGGATGCTCGGGCCCGTGTGGTACCTATCCTGAGTGATGAGATTCATTGGCGCAACAAGGGACGGGGTGGGTGGAATTACGGTGATCAAGATCAAAAGGGGTGAGTGCCAGTTTGAGCTCTTAGCCTTCTCATACATTGACGCTTATTGTTCTTTTCTTATCGTAAAGATCAAGGCTTGCAGCAGGAGCGTTGTGCAAGACGCTTGGATTGCAGAAAATAAATACCGTCGATGTGGAACATCGCGCGAGGTGTCATGGGTTAATTGTCAAGCATCTGGATGGGTGGTCTGTTGTGTACGGCGTCGCTTTTTATTCTCCTGTTATGTTATTTACAGCGCATTCTCAGGTTCTCAGGTGATACAGTGCCAACCCAAAAGCTCGTGCAGGCAGGTGCTGGAGCCACTCTGCTGATCCATGAGGCTACCATGGCCAACGATCAAGTTGAAATGGCACGCGCCAAGATGCACAGCACCTTTGGGCAGGCAATCGACATAGGCAAGAGGTGCGTTTCCATGCAATACAATCACAGACTTTTGTTCAACTTGTAAACAGTATGAACGCACAAAACATCCTCCTTACACACTTCTCGGCCCGCTACCCCAAGATGCCACCTTCTGTATCTGAGCGTCAGGCTGGCGACCCCGTCGTTGCATTTGCATTCGACCATGCTAACATCAAGATAGGGGACATGTGGAAAATGGGCGTGTATGCACGCGCGATTGAGCAGAGTTTTATTGATATTGCTGATATTGAGGGGGAGGAGCCGGAGGTGATTGACGCGGCACACGTGGATATTAGCTAAGACCATAAGATCTGAAGCCTGGTAATTTACTTTCACAACCCGGGTTTGCGGGAACTTGAACATTTCATGCAGACAAAACAACAATTTTATTGAGATTCGGGGAGGGAGTAATTCCGAAGCTTGTAACAGATATCAAGCAGACTGAGATACTAGGCGCTATCTCCTGTAAAAAGCAAATACGCTCGGTCCTGCCTCGACGAAGTGCATCCTACATGGCAGATATGGTAATCTATATAAATACTGTCCGCGGTACTGAAACACGAGCTTTCAGTATCACTTTTCGTGACCAGTTTCTATGAGGAGGACCGTCGATCGATAGACGGACTGGTATTAATTAATGTGGGTTTGGACAGTCGCTTTGGAGTCGTCACATGACAGAAAACCCTTAGACACTGCTTAGATAAGTCTGCTATCGTTGCTCGTCACATCAACTTCTTTCACTGTGTTAGTGGTTGCAAAGCTCTCCTCGACTCAGAAGCATTCCAGAATCCAGGATGTCTCAAGGATGGTCTGAACGTGATGTAGACCTCTTGATGCTGGCCGAAACTGATCATAATCACTCCATGGAATCACCTACATCAATCCCTACACCGAGTACCTAACACACCTGCATGTTCTGGAGATGTTTAAGTGGTGAAATTGTGCTCATAGTGCTCAGACGTTGGACGAAGTAGAATAGGAATGATGAGACGGAGGGTCTTCCTGTACCAGCTATAACCACGGTCACAGTCATCTAGTGTTGCGAGAATGGCCTCAAGTTGGAATTGTCATGAACTATTGTTGCTGCAAGAGCATCCTAGCCAGTACTAGTATACCCAGTCAGATCAAGAGACTAATTATTACAGTAGAATCACGGAAAGCTGGAGGACTCTTGGATGGAAGTATTTTTAGAGACACGCACAATGTCAGTCAGACAATGAATGTCTGCCAATGTTCCTTTGCAAGGGCTTTGAAGGCGAGAAAACGCTCAAAAGCGATGCGCCTGTACTCCGGTGTCTCCATGCCTTCGCTGAGACTATGGTTGTCCCTTAAACTGGTGACACACTGCATGACCGTTGTTTGAGTTTCAGGGTACTGGCCAGTCTCAACTGCAGTGCTGAGTGCTTTGGTGACAGGGACGAGATAGAAGGTGGGTCGAGTTCCAACCATAGTGATGCATGGAATAGTCATGGCATCAAGGGGGGGAAGTGCTCTGAGGAGCCGCCTCTGATTGTTGTTTTGATACGCAGCAATTGCTCCTGCGATGACTCCTGGTTCAGGTTCGCATTCGTTGAATGCTGATTTGTCTCCTTGCAAAACAAGCAAGACTGTCGACTGCAGATCAAGCAGACACACATCTGTTTGTGCAACTTGGTGGACATTGCCGCATATAAATAGTGGGATACTATGGTGCATGGTGAGGAGTAAGCGTTTATTGAAGCCAAGTATATGGAGAGTTTCCCGAGCAAATGTGTCCATGGAACATTCCTGCGTGGGATCGGTAGCCAGACCAAGATAGCCTAGATATTCGAAAATGGCGTCTGAGATGTTGGGGTCTGAGAAATTATTGTCATCAAGACTGGAATTAAGGAGTGATGGATCTAAAGCCTCCAAGAGTGGTCCAGGGTTTTGAGGAAAAAACTGTTCAGGCGCCAGAGGCACGACAGTGATATTGTATGCGAGGAGATCATAGAGGGTCCAGTCACTACTCGACCTCGCAGACCGGATGAGGTTAGCCATTTGATCAATGATTCCGCCTTGTAGCCGAATAGGAGAGAGAGCAGATAAATATTTAGAACACTATGACAGTAATAAGTGAAGCTCTCTCACCTAAGACAGTGTTTTGTGTTTACCTGAGAGTTGCAAACAAGAGAGTCCACACTTTTGATGATGCCACAGATACTCAATTTCCGCTATGACAGTAAGTACTAGCAGTGATCAATGAGGCTTCCTATCGCTGCCCGTGTTTTGTTCGCACGGTTCTTAGTCGTCGTCAACTAGTATAGGCTATAGCTATGATAGCTATTGGAAAGCTGGGTCTATTCTGATGTGGTGTCATGTCTTGAGCCGTTTGTAAAGGCGATGGACTGGGTGATGCACGAAAACGAGGAGGCGAATAATCGGAAGCACAGGAGGCGCGCGGCAGCCTTGACCCCACCTCAACTTTGATTTCGACCTAAACACCCTACGTGAGGACATTGCGGAAGAGCTCCATCGACTGCATACAGAATTGCCGGGTAGCACGGTATCAAGGTCCGATTGTTCATGAGGGAAAATAACATGATTGATCCGGTGGACGCAGAGCCATCACAAAAGTCGGAACACCGTCCAAGCCAATACCCGAACCAACGACTCTGTTCTCAAGGAGAGAATCAATGCCGCAATGAAAATCCCTTGAGTAGATGCAATACTGCATATTCCTTTCGCTAACAGGCAACGTGTACATGTCCGAGTCGCTGATTTTAATCTCTCATAGCCAGAGAGGACAGTCATTCCTTTCTGAAGTACCAATTTAGCTTTCATCTGCCCCACACGTCACTTTGCCCAGAGGTAATCACGCATAAAATCAAGAACTGTCCCGGGGTATTAAATTAACGTGTCAAGAAATGACTTAGTTACTACATACGTTATTCAACGCCAGTAAAGCTATCAACATGGCTTGACGCCCCAGCCCAAAAGGGCAATGTGACGGGCAAACCTTCAGCAGCCAAGATTGCCATTCCAGCATAGACCACTACCTTGGTCAATACTGAAGAAGGATAGGAATTGGTCTCAGACTTGGACATCTATCAAAGAGACAGACGATGCACTCACCGTCAGCATCGTAGTGCTTGACTTCCTTGCATTGATATGACCCGTTGCTGTTCTCGAGCTCGGATCCGCTGTAATTTTCTCCATTGGCTGACAGTGAATCGTTATTCGACTTTGCACCTCTTCGCTTGACCTCACTTGTTCTTCCTAACGCAGACCTCTCCCTGATTGCGCAGACCTCTAGGACGCCAGGAAGGTCGATAACACTCGGAATCGGGCGCAAACTGCTTTCAACTGGCATGTGTTGGTAATCTGTCGCAGGGATGTGGAAGCGTCGGTGTGGCAGGTCGAAGGAGGATGCAAGAAGGCGGAAAAGAGGATGAAGAACGAGGTGCAGGAGCGATTTGGCCAAAATTCGCCATACAAAAATTACAAGGATGCCTGTAGAGACATGTGAGCAAGAATGAAAACAAGATGCAGAAGTAACAGAGACGGACTGATAGTGACTTTGGCGCAAGCTAGAGTCCACCACGAAACTGTACCACACGGTCCCTTGAGGTCCGGGCATCACGGAACTCAAGAAGCGCTCGTCAACACCAGAACACGCGTTGTGCCACCGGGATAGTGCAATGCCAAGGAGGACAGAGACAAACACGGTGGCATCCTCGAAGCAAGGACAGTCATCGAGATGTAGACGCGTCTAACATAGCCAAATATAAAAAGGAAACGCTATTCGTAGAATGCATTGAGGGAAACCTGTATTCAAGATGGTGTGTCCCAATCGCTGGGGGCAGTTGATAAACTTTGCAATGAAGGAATCTCGTTCACTTACTCAGTCGCGTTACAGGAGGGACTAATGGACGAGGTCGATCCGATGGGCCACGTACTACTGCCAGATCAAATTTTATTGTATACTGACTTGACGCTCGCTGGCTAGTATGGGTGACTCCAAAGCGCACATTAAGGTTTGTGTCCGTTTGTTCTCCGACTGGTCACGAGTCTAATCGTAACGGTTAAGCGCGGACCACATCCTTGACAGCCCGGTGATCATAGTATTCACCCTTAGATCATCATAATGGTTAAATCACCCAACCCGCGCCGCGGCGCCGTCCACAATGAAATCGCTCCCTTGATCAATCATCGCATCGTCTCCCATACTTCTGCAATTATCATTTCATGTCTCCTGATCCTACGTCTCAACAGCTGGACGAGGAAACGCCTTTACTCCAATCGGAGGGAAATAGTACACCGGCGAAGAAACCACAGACACCTCTACCATGGCGCCAGTTTTCAATGCTCCTGGTGTTGCAAATTGCAGAGCCAATGACATCCCAAGTTATCTCACCTTTTGCGCCGCAGGTCAGCGTTTATCATTGAAGATTTAAATAAATAAAGTTACAACTTGATTGATGTAGCTTATTCGTGACATTGGAATCACCCACGGAGATGAAGCGCTCGTTTCGTTTTATGTTGGGTTGTTGGTAAGTGGACAAGTAGAGAGCGTTTTCATTGTGGTAATCTCGGCGTTATGATCTAGCACTCGCTATTCTTTGCGACAGAAGCGCTCACCATTTTCCACTGGAGTCGTCTCTCTGACTATATCGGTCGCAAACCTGTCCTGCTAATTGGACTGTTTGGACTCTCCCTCTCGATGTTTTGCTTCGGTTTGTCCAAGACATTCTGGAGCTTGGTGATAAGGTCTGTTCTGTTTCTGTGTTGTTTTCTTTTTGAGTCAGAGTTCACATCTTATTGTAACAGTCGTTGCCTGAACGGCGCACTCAATGGAAACATTGGTGTTATGAAGAGCATGACGGCTGAAATGACAGATTCGACTAATATGGCCCGCGCATGGGCATTCCTCCCTCTTGCCTGGTCCAGCGGTAGCACACTTGGGTGTGTCCCGCCAAATTTTCGTTTTCTAGATATACTGAAACAACTACAGGCCACTCATTGGCGGAGAACTTGCGCGGCCTGCGGATAGGTTCCCTAATATCTTCGGGGATTCTGCATTTCTGAAGAAATATCCATATTTCTTGCCATGCGCAGTCCCTGCCACAGTATCAGCGTTGACATGGATTGTCGCTTTTCTTTACTTGAAGGAGGTATGTTATCTCATTGTATGACAAGATGAATCTTCATATTAGTCGCAGACCACAACTCCTCGAATAAACATTAACCAACTCCTACCTTGGAAAAAGCGCAAGATTTTCCCTTCACCGACTCTAGAACCCCTGCCAGTATCATCTCCGATCAGCGACAAGCCTGTCCCCATTCGAGCTCTTTTCGTTCGTCGCGTACTCATTGCAACCGGGAGTTACGCCGGGATTGCCCTTGTTGATATCGCATTTCGCACTGTACAACCCGTGTTCTATGCCACTCCCATATCGCTGGGTGGTCTAGGGCTCGATACTCCAACCATTGGAACTGTCTTGGCGCTCCAGGGAATATTAAATGGCGCAATGCAGCCATTGGCCTTTGCCAGGCTTTATAATATCATGGGTGCGAAAAAACTTTGGCTGTTCGCTGTAACATGCGCCCTGCCTATGGTTGCTCTCCTCCCGACCTTGAATGCGCTGGCGAGATCTAGTGGTATTGTTCAGAGTACATGGTATTTGGTGGTCCTACAGATTGTTTTGATGGGCTGCACGAATTTTGCATACGGTTTGTCATCGTCATTCTCTCACTGATATTTCTGATGTGTTACGGAAGGCATATCTTTTATGTATATCGCTGCGGCTTCCCCTAACCGAGCGTCCGTGGGTGCGACAAACGGGTTCGCACAAGTGATCGTTTCTATCATGCGCGCTGTTGGACCGGCTGCAGCCAACTCCGCATTCTCAATTAGCATTGAGAGACAGTATCTTGGAGGGAATCTGGTGTATTTTGTAATGGTAGGTATGGTGTGCATGGCGATGGGCGTCGGTATCTTGTTACCTCGCACTATGTGGACTAACTAGCTTAGAGCGAAGCGAGTCTTATTTGTTGTGTCAATTTGAACTTGTTAGCCTTCGCAGCATTTCATCAGGCAGTTCGTCTCCTGGCGCACCGGGAGTCTCATGTTTTGCTTCAAAACATCCAGAGTTCGAGTGTTTTTAAGCACGAAAGGTTTTATCTTATTGACCGAAGAGCATCCCAGGGTAGTCTCCCCGAGGGGGTAGATATAAGTATTCGCACCTGTTGTTTCTAGGCGCATCGAAGTCTGGTAAGGTTTATTTATCAAATAGCATCTTGGTATCGAACCAGCCCTCGAAATTGATAGGCAGCCACATTTACCCGATATAGTAATCAGACACTTCCAAGTTCCCCCGTTCTGAATACCATTTTGGTCTTGATGGACGAGGAATGTAGTCATATTCAACTAGAACTGTGATGTTAGCTTTGCCTCCAAACTCAAAACAAGATTCGTGAAGAAATTGAAAGCATGTTTAGGGAGCGAGGAATGTGGTGTCTGACTTCGACACCACATTCGTCGCTCCAAACTCGGATAGCAAACGCGGACTGTCTTTCTATTTTTTTCCAGGAAGACAATGTGTGACAGGGAGTGAATCAGCAAAGCAACTTAGCGAGAGGAACACATGATAGTCCGTACCATACGTTGATGGGAGCATCCTGTTATCGCAGTGACAGCACCGGCGGTGGTAGCGTGAACTAAATTGGGTGGGAGGAGGCCGGCGCGCGTGCGGTCACAAGTTGCACGACCACGTGTAATAACTCTGGCTAAGGATGATAAGTCAGGATAAGTCTTATTGATTTGCACACCTGACATGGGTGGGAGGTGAGGTTGTGATAGAGATATAAAGAGCTCCTACAACCCCATTATCTTTAATATATTCACCCACCGATCAACGCTCTTCATATTGCAAAGTATATCTCCAATGGCAGAACCTAAGATAGATTTTGCATCGCTCTCGCTCTTCCGCGCGACGCCTGCGCAGACTGAAGAGTCACGACGCCGGACTTTCCCGCAGTGGGGTGGTACTCTGAGTCTGACGGACTACCTTGCGCGAGATGCGATGATGGAATTGGGCGAGCACTCCAAGGATGGAAAGTGGATCACTTGGTGAGTGCTTCACTTTGCTGGTAAAGGGGAGCTAACGGAGGATAAGGGTGCTGGCGCCACGCGACGACCCCACAACACTTGATTTTATGAGCGCCTGCGAGACGTAAGCGAATAGGTTTCCCTCAACAAAAGAGCAATTTCTGACGTGCATCTATGGGGGCAGATACAAGCGCACAGGTCTCGTCGCTTACCCCTCTTCCTCTCCATCTGAGCCCAACTCAGTGCACGAAGCAACTTGTTATGGTGTCGCCTGCGTGTTCACTCCACCCTCGAAGCGCGGGCGCGGTTACGCAAACCATATGATGAGCCTCCTGCATTGGGTCAATGCCTCGCGTGCCAATCTTCCTGAATTCCCCGAGGCATGGGGTACACCGCCAGAAGAGGTAGCAGATGCTGGTGGAGGTCTATTCTCGGTGCTGTACAGTGATGTTGGGGAGGAGTTCTACCGGTCGGCTGGCCCTGGAGGTAAAGGGGGCGGATGGGAGAAGCGGGGAGCGATCTCAACTATTTGGGAGGTGGGCACAGAGGAAGGTGATGATGAGGGATGGAATTGGTTGACGGAAGAGCAATTGAACGGGCTTTGGGAGCGTGATGCCGTTCGGATCAGGAAGGAGCTGGCGAACATGCCAACGAGCGAGAGCTCATATAAGGTAGAGCGCCCAGCGGCATTCGCGACATACCTGCCAACGGATGGTGTCTGCGGGTTCCATATCACAAAGTCAACGTTCGCCTCCAATTTTTCCATGGCAGACGGATTCTGGGGCGTAGAGTCTACGAGCGACCCAGGGACATACGCAAGCTGGAGCGTTGACTTGAGACCACCTCCAGCAACGCTGATCGTCACACGACTCTGCGCCAGTGAAGAGACGTTCCCTGGGCTGATTGCGAAGATCAAACAGGCGGCTAGACGAAGCGGAATTGGAAAAGTAGAGGTGTGGAATTTGAGAGTAGGATTGAAAGAGGTCGCGGAGAAGACGGGTGGGCGGACGTTCATACGAAATGAACATTTGCCGCAGATAGTGTGGTATGGGCCTGGAACAACGGGAGATGTAGAGTGGGCGTGTAATGAGAAGTGAGTCCTCTTGCCGTCCAAAATAAGGGATTAGCTGACGGTGTTCAACAGATTCTGCTGGTGCTGATACGTTTGCGGGACAGCCAGCTGAGTGATGTCTAGTAAACATTAGAATCATGTATCCCCTCTACAGAGTTTACGCAAACTCACATTGATGTAAGATCAAATGACTCCATGAGTGACTACCCACGAGCATGAATTTTATTCTATGTGCTTCATTACTTGGTGCCTCTTTGATGGCGGGTTAAGGACAAACTTGGAGCGGAAACTAAAGGTATTGATTGGTCAAGTTTGAGGCTGGTAAGGATGCTAACCACTACAGCTGTCTATGAAAGAAATGATATCGTTTTTTGCGGTGTTTGGGCGAAAGCCCGAAGGGCTTTCCGGTAAGAAAGACGTGTCCGTCCTGAGGCCAAAAGGTGAGCTGTGAGGGCGGGTTGGGCCCGATCAGGTCATCCGTTGTGGCAGCGATTTCTAGGAGCGTACACTATGCGTCGGACAAGAGAGTAGACTTTGGCGTTTTTATTATCTTCTGCGTGTTGAATATTAAGTGGTTGCTGAGCTTGTCCGCGCAAACGAAATGATCGGGGAGTGGCGGGCGGGTGCAAAAGAAATAGAATAACTGCAAACGTTTAGAATAAACAGATCTGAGTGCTGCGAGGTGGGCGGAAGCAAGAAGTGCTGCGCCACCTCGCTTATTCGCACATAGACTAACCTCGTGCCTCGGTTAGCTTAGATATTAATAACCAATTCGCGTTTCGAGTCACGTGGGAACTTTTCTTAGGAGCCTTCGAGTTTAGGGGAGACTATTGATTGGAACCTCCTTCCCTTTTCTCTGTCTAACCTTTTAGCATGACTCGAAGTGAAGAAAGATTCGAATTCTTTCCTCGGATTTCAGACGTTGCTGACAGAACTCATGCTGGAGATGAGGATATCTCTGCTAGACCACTTGAAGAGAGATCGAGTCTCTTTGCATGCAATGTAGGAAACAGGTGGGTTCACAACATTCCTATGACTGGTAGAATACTCACTTTCGTCAGGGAGTGACGCGCATGATGCTCACATCAATCCCGTTCTTCCAGGAAGTAATTGTGATGAGTTTCTGTTGCCAACACTGCGGCCACTCAAACAATGAGATCCAATCAGCAGGGAAGATCAGACGTGAGCATTCATTTCATCTCTTCACTACCACCTCCTAACATTGTATCTCCGAGGCAGCTGAAGGCGTTATGTACACAGTCAAAGTTCTTAACCGCAGTGACCTTGACCGCCAACTCATCTGTTCCGAAACATGTAGCATCAATATCCCCGAGTTTCAGCTAGTTCTTCCGCCCCCCCCCCCCCCCCCCGCGGGCAGCTTACAACTGTAGAGGGTCTTCTCCGAAATACCATTGCGGATATCAGCGTACAGCAGCCACACATTCAAGACAAGAACGCCTACGCTAAAATGCAGGAAATCGTTGATGGTCTCACGCAGACCATTGCTGATGAAGACGGAGACGAAGGGAAAGACACGCATGAGAAGAGAGAACTTTCGAACGAGGATCCAGTCACACATGCAATCACCATCACTCTAGACGACCCATCTGGGAATTCATTCCTCGAGTTTGTGGGCAGCATGTCTGATCTGAAGTGGAACATGCGCACGTACGAGCGGTCGCTCGAGCAGAACCAGCAGCTGGGATTGGTACCATCTGCAGAAGACTCGGAAGAAAATATAGCAGACAAGGGAAGACAGGAATCTGAGGGTTTGAACGAGGAAATGTTCGAATTCCCTGGAATCTGCTCGCGTTGCGGACGACCACTCACCACCCGCATGAAAAAAGTTTATATCCCCTATTTCAAGGTGTGTACCGAGGGAACGTTGAGTCTGCATTCCTGACAACCCCGCCAGGACTCTCTTATAATGTCAACTAATTGCGACGACTGCGGATACCGGGATAATGAGATCAAGTCAGGGGCTGCAATTTCTGAGCAGGGCAAGAAGATCACGTTGAAGGTTGAAGATAGAGACGACCTTAGTCGCGACATACTTAAAGTAAGCACATACACTATATTTGAGATCCTTTGACTCAATAATGTCCTGTAGAGCGATACGAGCGGTCTCAGCATACCGGATATAGACCTAGTTCTTCACCCCGGCACACTAGGGGGACGTTTCACGACTTTAGAAGGCATATTAGATCAGGTATACGAGGAACTCACTGAGAAAGTCTTTAATACAGGGGATTCTGGGGTCATAGATGTCGATGACAGGGCCGAGTTCCAGGAGTTCTTGAGAAAGCTTGAGCAGGTGTGTTTTCTTCTTTTTTTAACATCATGCGATTCTCATTCTGCAATTAGGTCAAGAACGCTGAGATTCCATTTACCTTGATTCTAGATGACCCCTTGGCAAACTCACACGTGCAGAATTTATATGCACCTGATCCAGATCCAAACATGGAGATCGTCTCATACGAACGAACGTGGCAGCAGAATGAAGATCTTGGACTGAATGGCATGAATGTGGAATCGCACGGCGATGATGATACGAAGTGCTGAAAGTTAAGAAGTCATGGCAATGAAAGATGCAGACTCGGATAGTTTCAATTGTCTATCGTTTGCGTTGGGTCCCATCACGACCCAAGACAGACACTCACACAACTATATGGATGTTTGCATCTTCTATCATTTTTTCAGCAACTAGAGTAAGAGCTTCTGATGAGCGTTGCACTGATGCATCGATGAGGGTTGGCTTCTTGAATCAATTTGAATTTATCAAACGCGTTCAACACTGATCACGTGATCATTGATAATTTTCGATTGCCCACTTCTGAAGGAGTCTGGAATCTGCAACCCGAAAATTCTGCCCCGTAAACATCCAGAGGTCTGCATCTGGCCACGTTTCAGACGCTGAACGTATTCAAAAATGCAAAGCGACGACGTGATATGGTCTGTAATTGGCCATGAGTTCTGCTCGTATAAAGTCAAGTACGTCCACCGCCATGATGTACCCTGCATAACCTCACATATCATACATGCTACAGGACTGTCACTCAGAATTTCTGCCGGAATGAATACAATGTCACGGGTCTGTGTACACGGCAGTCATGTCCACTTGCGAACTCGCGGTATGCGACGGTGAGGGAGAATGAGGGCAAGTGTACTTGATTCAATGTCATATGTCATGATTGATGTCCATCCAGGTGTGCTGTATCTGTATATGAAAACGATTGAGCGGGCACATACACCTGCTAATATGTGGGAGAAGATTGAGTTGTCAAAAGACTATTCCAAGGCACTAGAACAGGTGAATTGGCTCCAGGCTCAAGCTGCTTTCGATTGACGTGCTTTGCTTCCGTCATCCAGATCGATAAAGAGCTAAAGTATTGGCCAAACTTCACTATTCACAAATGCAAACAGCGTGTCACGAAGATAACCCAGTATCTTATCAAAATGCGTCGAATAAAACTACGGCAGGAGTGCGTCTTCAACTTGTGTGACTTGTTACTACTCATTTACCCTTATTCAGGCCAAAGCTCGTGGGTGTGAAAAAGAAGTTAGATAGACGCGAAGCGACACGGGAACGCAAGGCTCTCTCTGCTGCCCACCTTGAAAAATCCATCGAAAAGGAGCTGATCGAGCGGCTCAAATCAAAAGCATACGGCGATGCGCCACTCAACGTGAACGAAAGTGTCTGGCAAACAATCCTCGACCGGGAAAAGAGTGGAAAGGAGAAGGAATTGAATGTTGGTGCTCAGTTGGATATGGAAGATGATGAGACGGACGGGGAGGAGGAAGAGGAGGAGGAGATGGAGGAGGACTGGGACGCCGAAGGGGGCGAGTTTGTTAGTGATTTCAGTGGAGATGAAGATGGCGATTTGGATGATGAACTGAGCGATTTGGAAGATGTGGTAGACGGAGGACTGGGCGCAGAGGAGAGTGGGGATGACCAATCAGACGACGACAGCTCACCAGAAGATGAACCACCATCCAAAACCGTCCTTGGAAAGCGGAAAACCAAGCCAACAACAGCAAGGGCACCCCCAAGAAAGAAATTGGACAAGCCAGGGAGAAGTTCGTTCTCATTGTTTCTGAATTCGACATCCAGGGACTTATCATTACTCTTTACAGGAGGCCCGAGGGTGGAAGTGGAAATCGAGCGAGAAATGGAGAGTGTACCACTCACAAGGTCCGCGTTGGCCAATTGGTAGCCATTGGGGACCTGGGTCCTCAGCTGTTTTACATATATATATTCCACTGCGGTACGAGCAGCCACATTCAAGATTCGTGAACGATCTTGATTATCGATGAGACACATGAATCAGTTCTCGATAGGCTGATCACCGTCATCATCACCTGCTCTCGCCAATGTTGTTTTCCCCCATTGAATGAGCTCTGACAACCGTGGCTGGGATGCCAGTGGCTTCTTGCTCAACAGCGCTCGAAAGACCTTTCGACAAAACTCGGCATAAGTTACTCGTTCCTCCCCAGATAACACGCTCTGGTGTGCAAGTCATTAGCTACATGATCAGACATCAGGGCAATTGCACGAACTTCATAGTTGTCTCTCATAGCTGAGAGCATGGAAACCAAAAAGCCAAGATACTTGTGGTTGACAGAATCTGTATGACCTTGCAAACGCTCAGTAAGATTGGCAAATACCGCTGATTGACGATGAGCGGAGTATTTGACCCTGATGAACGAATTCTCACATTCAATCAGCGTCTGCCGGACTGTCGAATATTCTTCTAGCGATATCTCGAGTGTAGATGATCCGGTAGACGGCTCGGCCAGCACGCCACGTAGAAGTGGGTGTCGAAGACCGTCTAGAGTGAATACGATGGATGCATACTCGTGTTCGATTGTCGTCTTGGAGGGAACAGTACATGTGAGGAGGACTTCGATAAAGTAGTCCTCATATGCCTTCAGGCGATCAGCATTTTTCTATGAGAAACAAAAATTGGACTTACATTGTAAGCCTTCGAATCAAGTCTGAGAAGTGCAAGGCAGAATCTAAGACCAACCCGGCGACGCCATAAGGGATCAGGTATCCGCTCCCATGATTCAGGTCCAAGATGCATGTGGTTTTTCCAAGTCTGAAAAGGAAGAGCTGAATAGCAGCAGTCGAAACAGGTATCGAAACAAACCGATCCATTCTGAACCAGCACATTTCCGACTCCTACCCAACAATCAATCCATCTATCAGCCGTCTCACGGCGACTATCGACTGTGCTTGGCGCGGGGGAGTCAACTACATATCTGCAAACAACCCGGAATATCGCTGAAGCAAGCGGTCCACAGATCTAAAAACTGTCAGGAAAAAATATGGGAGAAACAACCAGAACGACCTTGCAAACTGCTTCTTCCTTCTTCTTCCACTCCATCCCAGAAGTTTGTGCAGGCTCGTCACCAAGAGCAGCTAAGATTTCTGGATCGTTCAAGTCGATGAAGAACTTGTCGTACTCATCCTGGCTCTCCTGATTATCAACACTCGATGATATTGGTGGTGCGGTGGGCCGCGGTAAGGCCCTCATTCGAGCATCCAGAAAAGCTGACACCACCTCTTGGCACGAAGCACTCGAATTCTGCTCTATGGCGATAGGATTCTTGGGACTGAAGACGTCCTTTACCCATGCTGATGAGGAAGGCAAAGTCAGGAAATATCTCGTTGGTTTTAGTCAACCACTTACGTCCCTCCAGAAAGGCAGGATCTGGATACTCATGTCGCTCATCCGCAATGTCCAGTGAGCATGTCTCAATCATACGAACAACCGACGTGAGAAGACTCTTGACCATCTCCACTGTCTTGTTCTTCACGATATTCTTGTTGTCTTTATTTGTTAGTGTGCGCGCCTCCTGGTATTCGTCCAGCAGGATGCCGGTAACCTCGGCAAGCCAGTTGAGAATTTCTCCAAGCTGTACGCGGTGATGTCGCATAACAGCGCAAATATGCTCAATGCCTCGAATGCATACAGCCCTGGTGAAATCGTGTGCATCTTTGAAGTTGACGCATCGTCGAGCTTGCCCAACGCGGTGTCGAACGTTGGAGACGGAGGAATCAAGATGAATAGCGACTGCCATAGCATTGAGTCGGTTGAAAAGCATAGAACTCTCCTGCCCAGTTGGCTGAACGGCCCTCGTCGATGACACCGAGCCAACTGGGACGACCATGTTCAGCATTTTCTTCACCTGTATGTCCCGTTGTTTTTTCTCCGCGTCACTCGTGCTGTCCGCCTGCGCAACTTGTACGATCATCTTGAGGAGCACCTCGAATACGTTGTCGCCCCTGTCTTGTACTGAAAGCAAAGAAATGTCCCTTTGCACCATGAATTGCATAAATTTAGGCTGCTCGTGGCGGAGACTGGCAAATCTACGGCTCCTGAATATTTCCACGAGGTGGTTGAACATTATCATTGCATCATCCAAATTCCAATGCCAACGCTTCCACAAGAGGAAGCATCGAGAAGCGACGACGGAGACGTACTCGTCTCGTTTGTTGAGGGATGCAGTATGTGTGAGTGCATCCTTCTGTGGATCGGCAACTAGGGAGATGAGCTTCAGAGTAGCCAAAACCGTTTCCCATGAAGGTGCGATTCTACTGAGGGATGTCGACATCCCGTGCACAGAGAACTGTGAGAGCGCACAAAAAGAGAATACATTCCGCCAAACATACTCGCTCGCCTCAACTGCAGTGATGAACGATGATGCTTCGTCTTGGATCAACTGTTTGAACAAAAGCCAAAATGGCTCCGATGATAGTTTACCAGGAGACTCAGGCGTGCAGTTGATCAAGAGGTGAAAGAGGCATATCCATGACTCTACAGCTTGAACGGCAGTTGAGTTGGTCTCTAGAGGGCCATCGGGCTCCCTAAACGATGCTAAAATTTCCCGGAGGTCTACATCTGACAGGGGCCGCATGAGCAAGAGCGCAAATTTGAACAACTCTCGGGTCTCTGATGACCCCCGCCGAGTCCTTGCAGCATGCATGATCCGGGCAGCGAGCTCTACTGCAAACCAGCAAACAGGTAATGAGAATTGATGAAAATTAGCCTCCAACACCCGCGCCACTAAAGAACCCATAGTCTCGTGTACCGTGAGCTCTAGCGAACTGAATTCCTGGTCGTCGATGCTGAGACACCGCCACGATACCAACTGGCACACCGTTCGCATTGCGAGTTCCCAGTCCTTCCCAGTCACAGCCGTCCACTCGTGTCCTTTGAGCACGTCATCCGCGAGCTGATCACACAAGGGTGCAATTACAGTCGTAAGAACGTGCACCGATGTGTCAGGTCCAAGGTCGAACCCTCGAATAACATATGACATAGGAGCAACAGGCTGAGCATGCCCTGTAACGAGGCATATCAGCTGGTGAAGAAACCCGCGGCCAATATACGTTCCGGCCGAGAACGCAATCCCTGAGGGCAAAGAGTCGATGCCCAAGTCGACTGTGGTCAACAACGCCCGTTGATCTACAGCATGCATAAACTCGTGGACGTCGTTATAACCCTTCCTACGCACAAGTAGTGGTCGTTCGCGTGGCGGATCTAGTGGTATATCAAAGTCAACGTGGCTACGACGCGGACCGACGCGGGAGGGTGGAGGACCTGACTCAGCATGTGATTTTCTCTGGTGTTCATCCTGACTGAACTCGACACTAGATTGAGGTTTAGAATCAACACGCGAGACCGGAATTTGCTGGCGCTTAGATTGGGTATCTTCTCGACGAACTCGGGATGAAATCGCAGACGCAGGCTGCCGCATTGATCCAGGTTGCCTTTGCCACCTATCTATCTCCTTCCTCCAAGTCGGGTCCAGCGCCTGATGGAATCCTTCATCACCCAGATCAATTCGCAGACCCCTTCGCGCAATATGCGTGCCAGATTGGTGGAAGCTGTAGAGCTCTCCCTCCGCTTTCTTGCGCTTCTTCTTCCTCCGTTCCCTTCGTAGTGCCTTGGACTCGCGCTCCACTGGTATTGTCGATTCTGTCCGCTTGTGGACCTTGTAATGATGTGAATGCTGAGAGCGGTGGTCATGGTCAGAAGAAACAGCGGGGAAGGAGAGAAGGGTCTGATTGCCCATTCGCGCGCCACCTGTTACAATGTTGAGCTTTGGCCTTGACTGTCCACCTCTGCTTTCACTCATATCTCGGGATTTTACGACGGAACCTCGGGGCCTCCGACTTGACTTGGCTCTCTGCTTTCTCCCACCACCCACCGTCCTAGTCCGCGTAAGCATCCAGTCAATCAGACTCTTCTCATGCATAGGCCGGCGACTTCGGCTCCATGCGTCGATCCGTGCATCGTCGATCATACCGTCGCTTTCCTCGCCATCACTCTCTGATCCACTCTCGGAACTGGAAGAGATAATGATGGCCGGAGACCTTGATCTGACTTTGGGAGATGCCCGCCGACGAACTCGTGATACGATGTCTGGTACCTCAGCATCCATGTCCTCTTCTCGAAGAATTTCGACATCCGAGCTCTCAGGGTCTCCCTGAATCATAAAATCACGTCCACTAGCACCCATTCGGACGCGTGCATGTCCAGGTCTCAAGGGCTCGTCGCCACTATCAGACGGCGTTGGAGAATGCGCTCTTTTGGTACTGACAAGAATTTTCACTTGGGAACCTTGCTGCTCGAGCTGCTTCTTGATCATGACTGCGGGCATCATACGCTGCAGGAGGCGGAAACGTTTGCGATCTTTGGAAGAAATTTCGGGAGAAGGACTGCTGAACTCCTCGCTCGGCTCACGGGCGAGCGGATCATCATCGGACAAATCCAAGTGATTGGTCCCATCAGGCAATGTAGACGAGGAGCGTGGTGGTGTTGACGGTGCCGAGGGAATTTCAATTGCATCGGCATCAGCATCAGGGTTGACATTCTCCGCATTGATCGCGTTGTGGTCGAAGAAATTATAGTAGTCGTAGTCATCATCTTGTTGATACTCGTATTCGTCGGTCGCAGGGGGATTCCTTGCCAGCGAACGGGACTGAAGCTGTGAAGGATCAAAACGAAGGGAATGCGAGGGTGAGGACGAGCGGGAAGGAGACGGTGTGACACGTTGCTTTCCCTTCAAAAGCCTGGATAGGACTGGCGGAGACCGCTAAACAAAGAAGATATCCAGCGCGTCAGTATATAAGAAGTGTTTCCAAACGAATCTCACCTCGTCTAAGTGAGATAGAGACCGTCTCGAGGATACTGAAGATGATCTCGCAGCAGGCTGCTTTGACGATGATGCTGCCAGCGGGAAATTCTTGAAACGTCTCTTCTTCACAATTTCTTTCGCGACAGCCTCTTCCTGCGCTCTCAGGCGAGCTTCTTCCTTCTCCCTCTTCTTTGCCTCAGCTTCAGCCTTCTTCCGAGCTCTCCTCGCATCCCTCGCTAACTTGCGAACTTCATCTGTTCCCTCAATCTCGTCGCTTTCAGACAGATCTCTTAGAGCCTCAGGGAGCCATCCTTCCTCCCGTTCGCGGTTATGATGATCAGCTTCAGCAATGGTGACCCGCCTCTGTTGCCTCCTTCCTTCCACATCCACATAATCTCGGTCCTCCTCCGGATTGTCAACTGGAAAAATATACTCTGCTTGGGTTCCACCTTGTGTCTGCCCATCGGCCCACTGTGACCCATCTTCATGCATCTCACGACGTTGCGGACTCACAAACTTCACGATCGCATCGGGGTTTGCCTTCATCTGCGCCTTGTACTGCGCCTTGTCAAACGCGTACGGTTGAAGCTGACGTGCCTGCCTGCGGCGAAGGGAATAACGGCTGACTGGTTCTGGGTCCTCGGGGATAACGAGAGGTGGAGGAGACGGGGGTGGTAATAGATCCTGTGATTGTACAGCCGGGGATGGGGTGTCTTGAGTTATTGGCGTGATTGGGGTCAACGGGCGTCTTGAGCGGGTTTGAGGAGAGATGAGAAGCAGCTCGTCAGGGGATGGATATCGACGATCAGAGGGATATGCGGTGCGCGGCAGCGTATCTCGGGTCATATGGGTAGGCTTTTCAATACTCTGGGGAATACGCCCCTGAGACGATTGCGTCGAGGGCCCCGGAGAAGAAAACAACGACCACGAGTCTGCTGGGCGCGACATGGAAGGGGATGGACTCGATATTTGTCCCTCATTTTGAGATAGAGCAAGGTGTGCTAGGCTCTGAGAAAAATCAAGAGGTTGAGAAGGGAACGCCGCGGACGCGGGCGATGACGGGAAGAGGGCGTCATCTAGCTGAGATGGAGAAGAATCAGGAAGCGGCAACTGGGAATCAGCCTGTGGCTGCACGTCGGCTGAAGCAATGGGATAATGGGACATGTTTCCAGATTCAGCTGGAAGAAGTGAAGGAGGGATACTTAGGTCGTTGAAACTCGGCTCCTGAATATGTGGGTATCGAGTCTCGTTGCGCAATGACGCTTCGGGTGCATCGGCAGCTGGAAGGGATGGGCTGGAAATATGGTTGAGCGCAATTTGCATTGGTGAATGTGGTGCACTTGTATGCAGTACGGAAGATGTAGTAGTTTTCACAGGCGATGCATGGGACGACGAATTAATATCGACAATCAGCTGCGATTCAGATTCGCTATGAGTTGTCTTGAGAAGTAATGAGCACCGCAGTAAGATTGATATAGGTATTTCAACTCTACCTTGGCACGTTTCCGTGGGGAGGGTTGATCTTCTTGCCTATCATTAAATCTTCCATGTAACTTGGTGGTAGGTCCTGAATTCGGTCGCGTCTTCTTGGAGGAGAGATAGGTGTAATAATCTGCCTCTGAGGCATCAAATTCACGTTCTTCAACGTCAGATGTGTCCACGACTTCATCAAGGTCCATGCAGAGAAATTGGATTGGATTCAGTGATAACTTTAAGAGACAAGGTCGAAGTCGATGTGACAGTTCCACGCGACGTGAGTTGTCACGTGATTGTGACCACATACTTACTAGGATGACATCTGACCACCCCTATTAACTCTCTTTGTTTGTAGTTCTCTTTATTTTTTTATATGTAGTGACTCGCAGTCCGGCACTGAACGTTGAACATGCACCTGACAGTTTGATTTTTTCTGCAATTTGCCAGTGAGCTATGTATTACAGCTAAAAGATTGGATGGTGCATACAAGAAAGAGATTCCAAGTTAGTAACACAGGTTTCTATCAACAAATTTCGTCTGAAAGAAGAAGATGAGATCTGTGATGCAGCTAAATGAGCTAAGTAGTGTACATTCGACTAAGATCATAACTTGTCCCAGATACAGTCGAACTAAAACTAATCTTCCGAATATGCATCAGAATCAGGATCGTAATCATAATCCGAATGTAATAGTGCCTGCATGTAGTCCTCCCCAGAAGATTCATCCCTGCAAATGTGACAAAGACAGCCACCTCCTGAGCCGCTGCCGCCCACCAAGCCCTCTTCATGCCCGTCCCAATCGACGTCCGTAACCACTTCCTTGAGGAACTGCACTCTATCGTCTACCAGATTTCTGCACTTCACTAGTCGGAGTTCGTGTATACCGACACCATGACCGGCTCGCATTATGGCAATGTCCTGAAGTTCTTCAGCTTCACCGCATCCAAAGTCGATATTCTCGAACTCTAGAGCATGAAGCGAGGGATATGCCATATCCGAACTTTGTGTGCCTCCACTTTGTAGCACAGCAATCAGGCTTCTCATATTGCAGGTCCCACTCAGCTGAATATTTTCGAGCTCCGGAAGGTCAGTGGACCCTACGCGCCAGAAGTTTTCTCGGAGGACAAGGGAGGATGTCACAAACAAGCTTTGAATTTGGCAATGCGGGACCATCTGACACATGTCAAATATGATGGGGGGCTTTCTAGTGGATGAGCTGCATTTGAATTGAATCGAGAGTAGTATATCATCGTTATGAGGGTCCCAAGAATACTTGGATTTAAATGCCGTTGATGTGCCGAATTGGACGCCGAATGTATGGTACGAAAGACTGGCACGCATCGACCGAATGATAGGACCTGATCCGTCAGGATCCTTGTGCATGGCCGAAAATAAGTCGGAAAGGCAGCTTCCAATTGGTGCTAGATTGAGAGCGATCTTGACATCAACGGGAAAAGCGAGACATGAAAAGAGAGATACAGCATTTCGGAGGGTGCAGGCGTCCAGTGCTATACTCTTTAACTGAGTGAGTGGAACTCGGTCAGAAAGCTCGGTGTCCTCGGAAATTCTAGATGACAGCCCAAGTGTCAGCTGCTCCAACTCAGGCATACGTCTCAGAGTTGACAGGAGTTGCGACAGAGTAGGATAAGACGCAGATCCTATTCGTCTCACATCTAGAGTTCGAAGCCCGCTAAAAATACACGACGTCCAGCTGAAGGTACATTCCATAAGCTCAACGCTCCGAAGTAGGGGGGCTCGTCCTTGAAAAACAGCATCTGATATGGACCCCATGACTCTGTAGTTAGATTTCCCCGCGACTGAGAATTTGAATGACTGAAGCAACGGCGCGGGTTGCGATGACAAGCAATCCAAAATGCGATTGACATCCCATGGATATGAGCACAGCTGGAGGAATTTGATGCGAGGTAACTGCGAAAGAATCTGCTGGAAACATTTTCGCAACGAGCCCGGCGACCTGTAGATAACAACCAAAGCAATTTTCTTCGATCTCTCCAACATCATGTCCAGACAATCAGCAGAGACGCAGTTGAGAGATGCCCAAAGAGTAGGACACTCAAGAGCGACTTGGCGCCAGTGCCTGCAGACGTGGGTGATTATCATAGAAATAGGAGCACCATTAGGGCGGGGTGTGCCTGTATGACTCTTGAAAGTGTCCTCTTCTACGATGTATGTGAAGATAGTAGTGAGAATCTCGAGTGGAAGCCAGGATATATAGGAGAGACTGATCCTGCGAGAGCGATAGCCACGCAAGGACTCGGCTAATGCAGCTATGTCTTTGTCAACGTGGGCGCGAGTCGTATCGCAGTGCTCAATGACGCCGGACCCCATGCTAGGGATGATATCTAGGGAATTAGAAAGCGTTATCGTGGATGACCTACGGCGGTAATCAGTCTAGTCCAATGCGAAATCTCGGTCAGAAAAATTACCTTGTTGTTGAGGAGGTTGAATGCAAATCGATGAATTTGGAACACTGAAGCTCGTGTTACCTGAGGCCTGAGTACTGAGTATGTAGTATGCCGTATCGTCACGGTGCCCCCCGATCGCGAAATGGGCAAGCTTCAGCGTGTTCTTGGTCGAATTGCGAGCGGGAAGTGAGACGTTGGAAGTAGAGTTTGCTTCAACAGGCTCCAGATGTGTTCCCGCCACAGTATGTCGTGGCCTCTACCCATAACTTGTATTAGCGGGGCTCAGAACCCAAGCCCTCTGACAGCTTCTGATGGGAATGATTCAAATGACATTGACAGTAGTATTTTCCCGCGCTCACCATATTTCTCACAAGGTATCGCACCAAACTTTCGAACCGCGGTTTTCACCACATTCGTCGACTCGTGATGGGTGAACTCTTTTCGTACTTCGACGGATCGTCAACATTAAACTCAACATGCTCATCTTTCGTGACTGGAGCAACCGTATGTTTTCCACCAGTTAAAATCCCATTCTACTTCTCCCTCCGCCAAAACCTATTCGACGGCATTCCAGACACACATATCGCCCTCGCTGCCCCCGTGCTCGCTTATTGGCTCCTGTCTTTTTTATTCTACTGCCTTGACATCTCTGGCTGGCGATGGCTTGACAAATATCGTATTCACGACTCAGAGGAGGTCAAATCTAGGAATCTGGCTACTCCTTGGGAGGTCGCACGAGCTGTCCTATTCCAGCATGTGACGCAAACTGTGTTGGGTTTAGTATGGTTGGCAGAGTCGCCAGAGATCTCGGTTGCGCAGTGTCAGAGCGAGATGGAGGCCTTGGGAAGAACACTGGTATGGGTTGTGCGACGTCTTTTGGGAGAGGAAACAGGAATGATGTTTTTAGAGCTGAGGGGGCCTGGGATAACCCATTGGCTGTACTGGTGGGGAATTCCAGCTGCCCAGATCTTATTCGCGCTGTGGGTGTCATTCAGAATCTGGTTTGACTTCCCTCTAATGAGTCTCCTCAGGTTCATTGTCGATACCTGGCAGTACTTCCTCCATCGCTTGATGCACACAAACAGATATCTCTACAAGAAGATACACTCTGTGCATCACAGACTTTACGTCCCCTATGCCTTTGGGGCGTTGTACAACCATCCTTTCGAGGGCTTCTTGTTAGACAGCGCAGGCGCAGCATTCGCGGAGAGCCTCTCGCATCTTTCCGTTCGACAAACGATCTTCCTCTTTGCATTCAGCACTTGCAAGACTGTCGACGATCACTGCGGATACAGTCTCCCATTTGATCCATTCCAGATGATGAGCGGAAACAATGCAGACTACCATGACATACATCATCAGGTATGCTCCTTCACTACCGTCCGCTCCTGTGCAGTGCTGACGACGAGTACAGGCCGTCGGAATAAAATCAAATTTCTCACAGCCTTTCTTCGTCCATTGGGATGTCCTACTCGGGACACGTATGACCAGAGAAGATATTCAAGAACGCCGAAACAAGGTCAAGAAATCGTGATACACCGATTTCGATGTTATTCCACATAGATTCGGAATTTGGGGTTTCTTTTATTCAATTCAGGACTACACGGTTCGTTCACCCAACCTAATGTTTTTCGTTCGCCAGCCTTCTTGCTGTATATATAATTCTAGCTTATGAGAGCTACGATAATGTTTGTAACTTAACTTCCTTATGACCCCTATCTGTGCATTATGAAATTCTGGTATCCATTACTGACTAGCTGACCTTCATTTCGCAGTCTCTCCCACCTCCTCCAGGAATGATGATTTGGCAGATATTTGCCGCTCTTGTTGCAGTCGTACCTTTTTCAACTGCTGTTCTTTATAATGTTGTAATCGCGCAGCTTTTGCCACATCTGCAGCTGACACCACTGCGGATTGAAGAAGTGCAGACAACAGACTATTTCGGTTTCGTTTTTCAGCGTGTGAAAGTTTGAATGCGAAAACGATTTCAAATATTGAGGGTGAGCACGTTTTCGAATGGCAAACACGAAGATAAATGCGCATCGTGAGATTGCGCTGCTTTGTCTGATATGACCGGTATATGATCATCGATCACCACAGAGCCCGATTCGTCCCAATATTCAGCCGGCAGGTCCAATCCGTAGAAGGCGTGCAGGGCAGCCGCGCGCATATCGGGCGCTGATCGCATGCGTACCATGAAAAGTGAGATCATGACAATGAGAAGAAACTGACTGTATGCACATCCTTTTATCCTCTGCATCGGATGGTTGTCCCAATTGCCAATCTCGTCGCACTAGTATGGTAGTGTGACGCGGCCTCTCGGGTTTCTCTAACAGCACATGGGAAAATAAGTGGCGGAAACTAGGCCGGAGAGTTCCATTTCCTTGTGTCCGTTCGGTGGGGAAATACTTGTATGAAAATCCCAAGGGTATGAATACGCCATGAGAGTAATGAGTACTGAGCAGACTCTGCTGAGCTGTTTCCGCGATGCCAGTTGATCCAGAGAGCGAGTGTAAAGCCTTGGCTAGTAGGAATGCTATCTACCGCAAGTATCCGTGAGCATTTGAAAAGGTTACGTTGAGAAGGCGTATTGCTTGCCCCGGAGGTGCGGGGGGCAAATGACTTGTATCTTGCTGATGCGCATCGCATCCGGATCCCATGTGGAGTAACAGCTTCGAGTTAAGTATTTTGCATAGTATAATGACTTTGAACTTTGAAGTATCTGTCAGAGTCGTGAATTGACTGTTATGTACTCGTGTGAACTCCGCTTGTATAGCAAGTTGGCTCGAATTGAACTAAAGAAACACCTCAGGACCTCAGGTAACCTGGTGTGTTCGCCAACGTCTTGGTGACTGACACGTTCGTCAGGGAGTAATAATCCTCAAGCATATCGATTCCATTCTTCGGGAAGTGATTCAGGCATGACGCGTGATGAGCTTTCGTTGCCACGGGCCACGGTGGCACGACCACCCCACCAGGTATTTGTCCGAATTACTATGAAGGCATCGAAAAATGTGGAGAATGATGCTGAAACTGGCCCAAATTCTGAGCGTGGAAGGAAGATCCTGGATCCATTACAAAGACTGAATCGGACCAAGGTAGAGACAATGCAGTCCGCATACTTTAAGTGAGTGCATCGATTCCTCTCCGCTCCCGCACAACAAGCCAGTTTCACGAATTCAGAAGGCATTTCAGATTAGCTATGTGGAGACCGGGAGAACTCGCCAACAAAAGTATTTCATACCAGGGGTTCGCAGATGTTGGTGACGGGGCCGAGTCCCCGGATGCCCTTTCGAGTTACCACATCCATATGGGCTACAATGCACGAACTACTTCACGGTTCCTTCCGATGACTCTCTTCCTCGTCAGCAATGAACTCGACCTGCCCATTTTTCGTGATAGGCAAGACCGTGTGCCTCTCCCCGGTCAGAATCCCATTCTACTTTTCTCTGCACCAAAATATGTTCGGTGACATTCCAGACACCTACGTCGCACTTGGTGCGCCAGTGCTCGCTTTTTGGCTCATGTCTCTCATGTTCTACTGTCTTGACATCTCTGGCTGGCGATGGCTGGATAAATATCGCATTCACGAGTCCGAGGAAGTCAAGTCCAAAAACTTGGCGACGCTTTGGGAGGTCGCACGTGCTGTTATATTCCAAAATGTGATGCAGGCTCTGATAGGTTTTGCGTGGTTGGCAGAACCGCCAGTGATCTCGGTTGCGCGGTGTCAGAGCGAGATGGAGGGCTTGGGAAGAACGCTGGTCTTAGTCGTGCGAGGTCTCTTTGGGGAGGAGACGGGGATGAAAATATTGGAGCAGTGGGGGCCTGGGATGACCCATTGGCTGTACTGGTGGGTAATCCCAGCTGCACAGATATTCTTCGCGATGTGGGTGTCATTTAAAATCTGGCTTGACCTCCCTCTAATGAGTCTCCCAAGGTTCACCGTCGATACCTGGCAATACTTCATACATCGCTTGATGCACACAAACCAATATCTCTACAGAAAGGTTCACTCAGTGCACCATAAACTTTACGTCCCCTATGCCTTAGGGGCATTATATAACCATCCCTTCGAAGCCCTTTTGATGGACACGCTAGGCGTAATCATTGCAGAGCAAGTCACCCATCTTTCTGTACGACAAACCATTTTCTTCCTCGTGTATGGTATGTGCAAGGGTGTCGACGATCACTGCGGATACAATTTCCCATTTGATCCCTTCCAACTGATCAGCAGAAGTAACTCAGACTATCACGACATACATCATCAGGTATGTCCCTTTACTACCACCTGTCCTCGAAAGCAGTATTTAGGAGGCGTACAGGCCGTCGGCATTAAGTCGAATTTCTCACAGCCTCACTTCATCCATTGGGACGTACTTCTTGGCACGCGCATGACCAGAGAAGACATTCAAAAACGCGGACAGAAAGTAAAGACGACGTGATGCATCAAACCCGATTATGGCATATAGAGATCTGAAGTTTGGTTTTCGCCTGTATGATCCTAGGTTCTCTCTCTCTTTCCTAGGTTTTGTGTGGCGGTTACAGACCACCGACAGCACTCCCTGCTATACCATGTGATTTATTCGTACCTTATTCTTACCTTATGGCAGTCTCCCGTTTTGACCCACGCTGCAACGTACTTATTTCACGTGCTACAGAGAAAAGATATAAAAGCCCTAGTAGATAGTTAGATAGAGACTGGCAAATATTCTTGCAACTAAGTTATTACCTGGTGACATTGCTTCATCGTCTTGAATCTTTCCCGTGTGCCTTCACTTCAAATCTAAACACAGCGGTCGTCACATTATTTACGATGATTTTGGCGATGATATTCTGACTTTCTTGATCATGGCCTCAGTTCACACATGCTGGGCCACAGTGAGAACGAGGGAACGTTTCTCATTCGCAAATTGACCAGGACACACTTGAAGGAACACGAAGACCCTGATTGGCACACTACTTGGCTTGCCAGAGAAGTTTGCACCCAGCCTCTTTGTCCTGGAACCAATTCAAGCAGGGTTGCTATTAGTACGCCCTTTGTACATTGTCCGAGTCATGCCACCGCTGACGCCTTTATCCTTCGAGATTTAGTTACTTGTTCCTGTACAGGATTTGATGAATACAATAGTTTCTCTCATTTTGAATCACATTATTTATATCTGTATCGACAGCTGCAGGAACATCACTACTCCCACTTGCCCTCAACTCAATCCGTTACTTTTACGTCACATGGAGACTCACTCTGGGACAACGACAGGTAATCTTTCTCTGTGAAATTTTGTAAGAACTAGACTGATTACTTCTACAGGTCCTCATCGGTCATCGATGACACTTCCTGTTTCTGCAGATGGAAGCGAGACTGCCCTCATTGAGCAGTGTGGCGCTCATATTGGCGAAGACACGGTTGCATCATCCGAGTCCGTGCCCGCCCTTCGCTTTCAAAAGAATACTCTCCCCCATCTCCCAGTCGAGATTCTTGCGAATATATTCATGTACATCGTATCAGAGGAGGAGAGTTATATGGGCGTATCCAACCCTCGCGGTGCTCCTGCGTGTCTGGCGGCCACGCACGTCTGCAGGTACTGGCGCGAAACCGCCCTCGAGTGCTCGACTCTTTGGGCATTCATCGATGGCGTCTCTGCTCAGTGGCTATCCACCATGCTGGAGAGGTCGAGGAAAGCTGCCCTGGTCGTCATTTACAATGATCCCAAACCGCTACGACAATGTGGCTTTGAGAAAATTCTTTTACAGTTACCTCGAATCAAATTTCTCCAGTTGTGTCCATCTCCACCGGAGGCTGATCGCATTTTGGACTGCTTGTCATCGCTACCCGCACCGTTGCTTCATACATTCAAATTCGTGGTCTTTGGGAACGCAACATTCGCTAAGCCCATATCAGACACCATTTTTCAAGGAAAAGCACCCCGACTTCGGAGCGTCCAGCTCGTGCAATGCTATTATAGTTGGACATCATGTATTTTCAGTGGGCTTCGCTCTCTTCATATAGGATTGTCCCCTAAGCGTAGTCCTCTGTCGCAAATCCTCTCGGCTCTGAGACGCATGCCTGAATTGGAGCTACTTACGCTTGAACCTCGAAGTTTCAAACACTCTAACGCGCCCTTCGATCAAGTTGCACTCCCTCGGTTGAGAAGGATGGAGTTGTCTAACTCTACTATCCACACTGCTACATCCTTCTTTTCACATCTAGTCCTTCCCGTTGATGTCAGGGTTGTCCTAAGCCTCACGAAAATCGAAAGCGCTCAAAGTTTTGCTGATCTATTTTCGGTCATACACAAGAATCATGACGAATCTGTTCCCGTCATTCGGTCCCTACGTGTCAGCCTTTTGCACGACCTTTTCACACTCCGGTTCAGCACGTCAATACCTGAGCATCCGTGGGCCCCTCGTGACAGCGACATACGACTCTCCATTGCATTCTTACACAACTCATGGATCACAAAACCAGACATCTTATTTGACATTTGTCGTATGGTCCCGCATCGCAAAATTCAACATCTGGTTGCGTCCTTCCCCGGCCTCGATACTACAGAGGAGTTCTGGCGCACGGGATCAGTAGACCTTCCAAAGCTCGAAAGTATCCATCTGGACGACACCCCTATTCAAGGCTTGCTCCTTGCGCTCCTGGCTAGAGATGAGCGGCGCCATCCAGCGTATCCCTCGCTTCGCGTTTTAGAGCTTGAGAATATCAATTTAGGATGTAAGGAACGTTTGTTTCTTGAGCAGGTTCTCACTGTGCTCCGAGACGGCCGCGGTGTCGGCATACACACGCTCCGACTGACGAGGTGCAGGAATCTGATGTGCGATGATGTGGCGCGACTTCAGACAACGGTTTTTGTCGATTGGGACAGGCATGAAGATGCATTAACGGACACCGACGGTGGTTGTCTTTGCCACAGCTGCAACGATAACAATTCTGAGTAATATGATTTGAATGCTGTTGTGCTTTCCGGGGACTTAGTTTAACATGTCCGGACCTAATATATGTATAGACACTTGTGAGCATGTTACCAGGGCACGGTGAGAACAAAGAACGCCGACGTGGACCCAATCACAGCTTTCACATGCACACACAGTGCGTCGTCACTCAAGCAAAGACGACCGTTCTCGGTGAATTTCAGGTATTCATAAGGTAGATACAAATGCAATGCTCTACTCAGATAATCAATTAGTAAGAGATTTAGATAGCAAGGGCCCGCGTTGGTACAAGAGACACAAAAGTGCGCATACAATCACCAGTCGGTTGAGAGGTGGCGACAGTTCGTAATGGTTCGGAAAAAAAAGAAGCATCAGATCTCATGAGAGTAGTCCGAATTTTTAGCATTCGTAAGTGGGTCGTTTTGATAGATCTAGTTCAGTGTGCGCATCACTGCTCGTTGAGGTTGTTTAAAAGAGTCGTCAGACATCGTTTGGTGACCATGTCTCCCTATTGATCGGTATCAGTAATGCTCTCTGCTGAACAGTGCACACGAACCTTGAGAAGCACGCTGAACGTCTGATCACGCAGCGGTTCAGGGAGACAAGCCCTCAGCGCTTCCCTCGCTCTGTGAATTAAATCAGCCCCGCCTACCCGCAAAACCAAACCAAACCAAACCCACCTCATATTATCACTGAGCCTCAAATAACACCTCACCACATGCTTCAACAGCCTAACAGCCTGCGTTTCCACCAACTGATTCACCATATTACTCAAAACCGTCCCCACGGCATAAAACCGCTCGTAAGTGTGGCAAATGTACGTAAGACCCGTTTCGTCGAGTAGGATCTTTTGGACGATGAAGATGGCGACTGTTTTGGAGAGCTCGGAACCCGTTTCCATTATACGGAGACAGAGGGGAATGATTTCGGTTGAGAGGAGGAAGTGGATGACTGTGTTATTGTCGTTTTGCTAAAGGTACGTGAGATTTTGTTTAGGATTTGAATTTGAAATCGAAGGGGGATATGGGGAGGTGAGGGGGAAGAGGGAGGGGAAGAGACGAACCTTGACGAGGGCGCCAATAACGCCTAGGGAAGTGAGTCTGAGGTATTCAAACGGCCGCGTTTTCGAGGTCGTGTTCAAGAACGGGTATAAAAATAACGGGATATGTGCTGTTGTCATAAATAAAAAGTCAGCCCGAACCCTACCAACCCAACCCAAGCACAAAGCCCACCATTCAAGAACAACTGTCTCGTATCCGGATGCGAAGCCACGCACTGGAGTAACGCAAGGGCATTGCACACTCGGTTCGATACGTGTGCTGTGAGGTTAGGAGGGGAGAGGAGGGGGTAGACGGATACTATTTCTTGTAATAGCGCTGGCATGATACCTGTACATTCCAAACATCAGCGTGCGACACCACATTAAACATCAATGAGCGCCAGTAAACCAAAAAAACTCAATCAAAATAACTCACCAAAGGAATGCCAAAGCACCAACGCAAGCTCCTCATACTGCTCTCTCTTCTTACTCAACTCCAGCAATGCAGCCTCGCGCGCATTAGGATCCGTAAGGTCAATAACTAGACTATATATTTTGCTCTCTTCTTGAAGACCCATGATGTGTTGGTGTGGGTGCAGGGATGGCGTATGGCTCTGAGTGTGGGTGTGGGTGTCGGAGTATCCGGATAGCGCAGACCCCGCTAGGCGCTGCTGCTGCTGTTGTTGCTGTTGCTGTTGCTGGTATGGGTTGAACTGTCCAGCATGCTGGAGGTATGAGAGCGGTTTGGGGGAGATGAGCCCCGCCATGGCCATGGTTTTTGGGAAGCGTGGTCAGTGGATGTGAACAGCAAGGAACATGTTTACGCTGGAGCGATTGCCCTGATGTGTGTTTGCTTAGTAAGCTATCTTTGTGACGGCCCGGGACCCTACAGCAACAAATCGCGATTATTAATGGGTTGATAGTATACGCAAGTCCAGGCGTCGTATAGCATGTAAATCCACCACAGACTAGCCAGCAAACTAGCGCTAAATAGACGAAAGACTGGAAAAGAAAGAAAATGAATTGAAAGAAAGACTCGACCCCCTCAAAAACCAAGAAGAGCCAAAGAAAATCCAATAAACTACAACGGAAAGCTCATAGAACAAATGGCGATGAGTGTCAGAAACGAACTTGTTATGTGTCATGTTGAACAAATCGAAGGTATCCGGTGAGCAGCGCACTTGAAGTGAGTTGATAAGGAAAGTAAGCAACAGCAACCAAGATTAGCTCCCCGAAATGAGTGAATGGGGCATGTGTGGGAATCGGGTGCCGTACATATCGACAAGGTACATGGGGGAATATTGCAGATACATCGTCAGCGGTCGTCATTTCGTCTGGCGGATTGGGGTTGGGGTGGGGTACGGATCATGAGTAGTTCTTCTCCAGGACCCGAGGCATCTTCTCCATTCGGACATCATCGCCATCAAACTCGCTTTCGTCGTGCTCATGTACGACGCTGACGCCCTCGACCGGTGAGTCTGTTACGGGTGTTACAGGTCGACTTGATACGAGTCCGCCTGTGGAGGAAGTTGCAGTGATGGTTGATACGATCTGTTGATTCTGGGGATAGTATGATCGCCGGAGCATCTTCTTGAAGTCATATGATGCAAACCTATGTCAAATTAAGAGGATGCGAGGAAAAACATAGTGAAAGTGCGCACTGCTCTTCCATTTGTCTCATTTCGGTGCTCAGCGTGTTAACATCTCGTGTCTTCCGTGCTTTAGCCTTTAATGGATTGTCTTCGAGCAACAGTTCTTCCAATTCGTGTGATGCATCAAAGTTTGCCTTCTTTGACTGCGGGGGGATTTAGAGAGTGGATACTATTCGGACTAAAAAAGAACCCACATCGGGAGTGAACGGTGGTGGTAATTCTTTGGATTCAAGTGCTGCCCAGTCTATCGGTTGAAACCAGGGGTGTCGCTGCATTACTTCATAACCATCGTTTTGCTTGCATGTCAGTCTTTTGGAAGGGTCACGGTCCAAGAACTGAGGGAAATCAGCACAATATAGCAGGCAGTATGACCAACTCACCCCTTTCAACGCCATCATGCCTGCTCGCGAACACTTCTTATCGGCGTCATCAGGAAAGCGTAAGCTGTCTTTGCTGATGCTATGGGTCAAGTCGGCGTTTGTCTTGCCGCGAAAGGGTCTCCGACCAAAGAGGAGCTCGTATGCGCAGACGCCCAGACTCCACCAGTCGATCGGGTAAGTATAGCCGCGTTTAGCGAGAATCTCGGGAGCCATGTAAGCCATGCTACCTGCAATGCCAGTAAGCATGCGGCGCTCGCTAAAGTGAACAGCAATATTGAAATCTGTGAGATGGGCATGTCCCCGTTCATCGAGGAGGATGTTATCCGGTTTGAGATCGCTGGTGAGGTAATTATGAAAGGGTAAATAGATCCGGGATCGGATTATACATACCGATGCATGATTCTGTGCTCATGAAGGAAGGCTAGAGCTGAAGCTATTTCTGCAACGTAGAAGCGTACTGTATCCTCTGGCAACGAGCCTAACCGTTCGAGGTGGACTGGGTTGAAGCGGGCTAAGCGAAGAGGACGAAGAAAGCGAGGGCAACGTACATCTAAGGTCACCACCAAGCATGAGATCCAAGACGAAGAAACAGTTTTCATCATCTTGGAATGCATAACGAAGGTTAACGACAAATGGATGGTCAATCTTTGGGTGGAATAAGTGGGAAATAAAGACGATATGGCAAGATACTGACCTCCTCGAGTAATTTCCGCTCCTGAATGATATTTGCAACTGCTTTCATCTTTACGCACTTTGTCTTGTTGATATATTTCAAGGCATACAACTCTCTGGTCTGTTTGTGTTGGACCATTCGGACCTGGAGCCTTGTTCGCTTTGTCAGCGAAAACTGAGGTATGACGGATACTGACCTTTCCAAAGGCGCCCTTTCCGACACATCTCAAGAGAACAAAGTGAAAGAGATTAACGTCGCCTTCAAAATCGACCGGCTATAAGGATGAATGAGTTAGTTCGAGGTAGAATTAAGGCAAGGATACCTGAGGTCGACAGCAAAGGGCGCCCATAGGGTATTATATGAAGGGTAAAGAAGAGAAGTAAGCTTGGTTGTGCGTTGTGTCCGTCGTGGTCGTCTCAGGCAGATATTCCTGTCACGCTTAGTGTGACGTTGTTTGATGCGTAGTTATTTAATTTTTGTCACAGACTTATTTTAGGCATTCATTACTTCTTCCATGACAATACCTCCTCTAGTCGTATTTGGGCCCTCGGGAGTAGGCAAGGGCACTCTCATCAACCGTCTCATCAAAGAATTTCCAAATTCTTTTGGATTCAGTGTCTCTCGTACGGAGGCTTTCCTTCTTAACCCTCTCACACTGTCACTTAACTAGTTCCCATCCCAAAGATACTACCCGCGCTCCACGCCCTGGTGAGATAGACGGCAAAGCATACCATTTTACCACAACCGATAACTTCAAGAAACTCATCTCTGAGGCCGCCTTCATCGAGCACGCCCAATTTTCGGGCAACTTCTATGGTACTACCATACAAGCCGTACAAGATGTCGCAGCAACAGGCAAGCGGTGCATCCTCGATATTGAAGTTCAGGTACATTTCCTTGACTTCCCCTTCTAGGCCGATCTTCACCATACCATATCTTAGGGTGTACGACAGATCAAGCAGACGCCCCTGCATGCCACAGTTGTCTTCATCTCCCCACCCTCCATGACCGTGCTAAATAAGCGGTTGCGTGGCCGCGCCACAGATTCTGAAGACGCCATCCAGCGTCGTCTCGCAATCGCACGTAGAGAGATCGACTATGCTCGTGAACCTGGTTCAGTCGACTACGTTGTCGTCAATGATGATCTTGATGCAGCATATCAATTGTTAAAGAGAATCGCAAACGTAGAGTTAGATGTGAGTGGGGATCGGATGCCTCCCTTGGATGATTAGATTCTTCTATTTATACCCTAACCTTATCTGTGCGGTGATGATTACAATGTACTATATCATATAAAATTTTCTATCTTCCGTTACCGCCTTCAAATACTTTAATGTTGAGGCCTAATCGCTGTATCCCAAGGCAGTCGTTACTGGGACGAGTTTGCAGATGCCGTAACTTATTAGTAATAGTGTCTGAACTTCGTGGCTCTGCACGTTTCTCTTCACTTCCATCCCGT